TCACCAAGACGCTCGTCTACGACCGCGCCGGCGACCAGCACTACGACACCATCTCGGCCTTTCACAAGGCCGTGCGCGGCGGCGACGCCGACGCCGCCCTCTACTACCTCGCCCGCATGCTGCAGTCGGGCGAGGATCCGCTCTTCGTCGCCCGCCGCATGGTCGTCATCGCCAGCGAGGACGTCGGGCTCGCCGACAGCACGCTGCTGCCGCTCGCCACCGCCGCCTACACCGCCGCCCAGCAGATTGGCATGCCCGAGGCCCGCATCCCGCTCGCCCACTGCGCCGTCGCCCTGTGCCTCGCGCCCAAGAGCACCCGCGCCTACCGCGGCCTCAACAACGCCTACGCCGCGCTCCGCGAGCCCGGTGTCGCGGCGCTGCCCGTCCCGCTGCACCTGCGCAACGCCCCGACCAGGCTGATGCGCGACATGGGCTACGGCGCCGAGTACAAGTACCCGCCCAACTACCGCGACGGCCGTGTCAGCCAGACCTACCTGCCGGACGAGCTTCTCGGGCGGCGCTTCCTGGAGGACAGGGATTTGGGGACAGAGGTGGACCCGGATGTGGTCATGAAGGACGACGGCGAAAAGGCGTAGGCCTCAAAGGGAGCAGAATGAAAAGGCACGAAAAGGGATTCAGCATAGCATTCATGGCGCTCAAATTATGTAACAATATTCACTTGGATTATATTTCAGCATTGGTTGCTGAGGGTTGTATAAACTGGAACTACGATACTAATAAAACATTGTATACTTGATACATGATTCCAAGCTCAAGTGCTAATAATACATGATATGATGATACCCACGCTATAAACAACAACATGCTTGCATGTCCACTACTCTTCCGTAAGATCAATGATGGAAACGTCGCTCCACCGAATCACCTTGCCTTTCATGTTGGACCTGGCAAGCCGGGCCTCTTCTCGTGTAATGATTCTATCTCTCTCGTTCTCGTCGCCGTCGACTTCAATTTCGCGCAGCATGCCCGCGGCGCCAGGGACAAACAGCTTCTTCCTCCGTGATGGCGTGGGGCTTCCGCTCCTGTCACCCCTGGCAGCTTGGCTCTCTTGAGACCGGCGTTTGCTGGGGGATGGAGGCTCTGCTGGTACCATGTCGGACATGGGTAGCGGAGACGAATCCTCATCGAACGGATCGTCAAGTATTTGCTTCTTGGAGATAATTGACGAAGCCGGCTCCTTTAGTTTGCGCTCTGCTGTCCTCCGGGACGCAAACATATCTAGAGACGTCTGCTTGTATTTCGGAGCATGTTTTGCGGCCGTGTCCTTGGGGAACTCCGGGGGTCGCCTTGGCCCATCCTTCACCCTCGACGGCGAAGCAGCCGCGGTAGACTGCGAAGGTATGGGGCTACCATCCGTCGCAGACTGTGAGGCAGTGGCCTGAGAAACGGGTGCTGTGGATGGCGGCGAGGTGCGGCAGGGAGGACTGGACGAAATGACAATGGCTTCGGCATAGACAGTGCTTTGGGAAGGTCTGGGCGGCATGTGTAAGCGGGCTGCGTCCTTGTCTGAGATGCCTGTAGCAGAGGCGCTATTCTGCTTACTTGGAGATCGTGGGGGCGTCTTTGGTGGCCGAGGCAGCGGAGGTAGCTCGTTGATGTGTGTGATGGCTTCGATAGACGACGGCATTTTCCTTGGTGGTGATGGAGACTTTTCTTTCGCGACGCTTTCTGGAGTCGGATTTGACTTCTTGGTGATGCGAAAGAAGTTGTCAATGGCACCTTTAGGCATTCCAGAGTCCTTTACGGGCTTGGCCGCCTTCCTGGTTGACTTTTTCTTGGGCGACTTTCGAAGCGCCTTGGCGGCCTCTGCCGCCTCAAATTTGTGTAATGATTCGGGAGCATACTGTGTTGCAAAGTCTTCCAAGACCCAAGCAAGCTCAGGGACAGTTACGTCAAACGTCTGCGGCGTTTTGGCCTCGGCTCCCTGGGAGGGCGCGAATTCGTCATCGCTATTTAGTGCGAGGCCATCTCTCCCGTAATTGATGTCCTCTGCCACTTCAGTTGATAAATCGATCGGGACCACGTCTTTGGGTATATAAGACAGCCGCAATTCCGGGGTGGCGTCGGTACTAAAATGAGTCCGTCGTTTCGAAATGTCTTGTATCAGGTTGCGCGACTGCATCAGGTTCTGGACAAGCATGGCTTGGCCCAGGACGCGAATGAATTTGATGGCGCCTTCCCGGTAGTCCCAGTCAAATGTTTCGCGGGCAAACTCGCGAAGAGATTCCAAATCAACATTCTTATGTTGGTATACTTTTTGCCGGATCGCCTCAAGATGGCTTTGCGGCGAAACCACTGGGTGAGTATAATATCGCAAGACTTCCATATTTGGAAAGTCGTCGGGAATATGCAAGCTCTTGTGTTTTGTTCGAAAATGGCCACTCTCATTCGTGGTAAGCTCGTGGCGCAGCTCTGCTCGCCATGCACTGATCATGTCCGTGTCGGCGGCCTTGAGACTGCAAAGCGAGGTGCCAAAACCAGCATTGGCAGCTTCGCAGGCAACCTTGACTCCGCATCCCGGAATTCCATCTGGGAGGTAGTCGCCACCGCTCATCAGGGCAACAAGCACCATGCCCTGCCTCCCCAAGCCATGATTAGCAACAGCAGCTGTGTCGTAAAGCGAAACGTGTGTGGGAGCCGTGCTCGTCTTCCCTTCGGAAGACCAATTACGAAGCGTCTTTGTGCAGCCAAACATGATTGTGTCGACATCTTCGCTGAGCACTGCATCAACAATGCCATGCCGCTGCAGCAGGGCGCACTCTGCCTCTGCCTCGCCCGGCGCATCCAGAGCAGGCAAGCCAAATAAGCGAATCAGGCGCTTGGCCTGTGAGTTTGCAACACCATCGCCGCGACCAGATCTTTTGTTTCGCTTCGTGGTGGGTTTGTTCGGTCCGTCGAAAATAAATACTGGCTGGACGGGGATAGCGAGCAATCGTACAAGTCGGTAGAAGAGGGTTCGGATGGCAGGGTTCGTGCCACCTACATGGGTTGGTAAGATTCAATGGGAAGCAATCGCTCGAATTGCGAACTACACATACCTCTTGCAGCCTGCGCTTGAAACTGCCAGATGGCGACGTCAATGGCGAGCCGTAGCGGGCGCCCTTCGGCTTTCAATGTGTCGGCGGCGAGTTTCGACAGTGACACACGCTGGCCAGAGCCGAGCTCTCCATAAATGCTAGCATGGTTAGAAATTGCCCAGGGACGAAAGCGAGGCAGCATACCCTTTTATGCCCATTATAAGGTCATGGTAGCAAATTTGGCATCATCGGCGGTGAATTTTCGTCAACTGCACAATGCTGATGCAATTGTAAAGTTCACTCTGTTTGGCCCCGCGTTGCTCTGGTGAAGGTGCTGGTTATTTACTTGTCGGGGATCGGCGCCTAATCTGCCGACGCTAACTTCTTATTAGCAGGGCTGCCAGCGAGCGTTGCTAGTGCTTTCAGTGGCTCGCCTAGGCTAGCTTGACTGAAGCTCAACATCTATCTCATCACCAACACCTTCTTTGATCACGGCGTCGCGCCAACTTCGGCATCATGGCATCCGGAAACGGTCCGGCTCCTCACAAGAACGTTTCCAACATTCGAACCGTCGCCGGCCCGCAGCCAACACCCTCAACGCCACATACACCGCCGCGCGCCCTCTCAGCTTCCTATGGCTCGCCCGCCTCCATCCGTGCAGAGGACGACATTCTACTCATTGAAATCGGCTCGAGGCATGTTCGAGTAGGCTTTGCCGGCGACAGCGCCCCGAAAGCTGTGTTGTCGAGCGGGCCGCGAGACCAACGGCGTGCTGGTGACTTTAGGCAGTGGACGGGACCAGATGCCCTGAGAGAACATTGGGCACCCGAGTATGAAATTTGGCGTTATGATCTGCGGGATTTCGATCTTGGCTTGTTCCAGGATAAGCTAGGGAGAGTCCTGCGTGATGCATTCACACGGTACGCGATTTCATTATTGATGGCTAGACAAACACTGACTCGCAGGTAGACTTTTGCTCATTGACTCGCGGCCACGAAGAGCTGGCCTGGTGCTGGACTCTGCAGTCCCGATACCGCTTCTGTCATCCGTTCTTGATATTCTCTTCACACAATTTCAGGCGCCGCTAGTCTCCTTGCTGGCTTCGCCCACCATGACAGCTGTGGCAGCAGGTGTCCGCTCAGCCTTGGTGATTGACATGGGCTGGTCTGAGACCGTTGTCACAAGTGTCTACGAGTACCGCGAGGTCAAGTGCACACGCAGTATACGAGGGGGCAGAAACCTTTTGGACAAAACATACAAATTAGTACACAGCGTCGTCACTGGTAAACAAGACGAGACAGAATCGCGCGAGTCCGACCATGTCATTGCCTTTTCCGAATGCGAAGATATCATGCGTCGGCTCATGTGGTGCCGAGCAGCAGCCTATAAATCAACACAAAGGCAGTCGACACAATTGGACACTGTGGTTGAACAGGACGAATCAGAGGCGGATGCTCCTCATCCGCGAGGGGATGCCAGGATTCCGCTACAAACGTCCTCTCCGCCAAAAACTATACAAGTATCTTTCGAGAAGCTGGCGGATGTGTGCGACGACGTCATGTTTGACCCGTCTGCCAACCCACCGTCTTTCGATGACCATGAGCTTCCTCTGCACTGGCTTGTGTATCAGCATCTACTGCAGCTGCCTCTCGATGTCAGAGCAGTCTGCATGTCGCGCATCATGTTCACCGGCGGCTGCTCAAATATTCTAGGCATCAAGGAAAGACTAGTCGACGAAGTGTCTAGCATCATCGACAAGCGTAGCTGGACTCCGGTCACTGGGAAGGGCACGGATCGCCTACGAAACAGTACCCAGATTCGTCGGAGCAGCGCAATTTCGCGATCCGCCGACTCACCCGCGCCTTCAGAGTCAAGTGATGATACCGAGCGATCTCGGTCCCGGCCAAGCTCCATCGCCACGCAGACGGAAGAGGAGGCCATTGAGGCAAAACTGGCTCGGAATCGGAAAATACTGCCTCAGTTCCAAGGGCAGCTGCGGGTCCTGCATTCCCTAGGGCCTTGGGCTGGCGCGAGTCTGCTGTGCCAGCTCAAGATCCCCGCCATGGCAACCATTGACAGGGAGCTTTGGCTGCAACAGGGTGCTAGCGGAGCATCGCGCCCAGTTGATGTAGACGTTAAAATGCAGCAGCGGCAAAGTATGGGGGCCGCTGGTCTGATAAGAGCAAGCGGTGGCCACCATGTAAACTGGACGTTGGGAACTTGGGGCTCGATATGAGCGAGGTTTTGGTTTTTTGTTGGCGTAGATACCAAGGAGTGATTTTGACGCACCACCACAAAGCGCTATTTATTAAATACCCTCAATCATATGAAAAGATAAAAATGAAAGAAGAACTCAGCTAGATGACTGATTGATTTTGGTCATCGTGTCAATTTTGCGATACTGTCCCTACCTAGATACTATAACTCGGCTAATTGCATAACTCCCTGCTTGGCCAAGTCGGCTTACCTCCAACATTGAACACGACATCGTTCAGCAACAACACACATCCACACGCATCATGCAAAGGCTATTAAAACGGCTAAAAAGCCCGTCGCTGAAGCTGGCGACGCGGCCCGGGTCACATCGAGGCTACGCATCCGCCAAGCGCCCGGCCAACGGGCCAAGGCCCGCGCTGGATATCAAACACATCCGCCAAAACCCGGAGCTCTATGAGACAACGTGCAAGGAGCGCCTGTACACGGCGCAGGCCTCCCACCCAGCCAAAATCATTGCCCTAAGCGAGCAGCTCGTACAGCTGCAGCACAGCGGCCGGGGCCTGCGCGAGCGCGCCAACCTGCTGCGGCGGGTGCTGGCCAACCCGGCAACGCTGACCGACGACAGCACGCTCGAGGACCTCAAGGCGCTCAGCCGGGAGGAGCTGCACGCCGACGCGCGGCGCATCAAGGAGGAGCTGGCGGCCATTGTGCAGTCCGAGACGGACGCGCAGCGCACGCTCGAGGAGCTGGCCCTGCAGCTGCCCAACCTGACGAGCGCCGAGACGCCGCGCGGCGCCGCGCCGCGCGTGCTCCGCTACATCAACGACCGCCCGCTCTTTGACGAGGAGGGCCGCAGCAGCAGCAGCGGCAGCCAGCACATCTGGCGCTCGCACGTGCACATTGGCGCCGAGCTCGGCATCCTCGACTTTGCCAGCGCCGCCACCGCCTCCGGCTGGGGCTGGTACTACCTCGTCGGCGCCGCCGCGCAGCTCGAGCAGGCGCTCGTCCAGTACGCGCTCGCCGTCGTCACCCGCCGCCCCGGCTGGACGCCCGTCGCGCCCCCGAGCGTCGTCTACGCGCACGTGGCCGCCGCGTGCGGCTTCCAGCCGCGCGACCAGCACGGCGAGCAGCAGGTGTACGCGCTCGCGCAGTCGGCCGCCGACGCGGCGGCCGGCGCGCCGGCGCGCGCCCTCACGGCCACGTCGGAGATTGCGCTCGCGGCCATGAAGGCCGGCGCGACGCTCGACGCCGCCGAGCTGCCGCTCAAGCGCGTGGCCGTGTCGCGGTGCTACCGCGCCGAGGCGGGCGCGCGCGGCGCCAGCACGCGCGGGCTGTACCGCGTGCACGAGTTCACAAAGGTGGAAATGGTGGCGTGGACGCGCGCCGACGCGGCGGCCGCCGCCGCCGTCTTTGACGAGATGCTCGCCGTGCAGAGCGAGATTGTCGCCGCGCTCGGCCTGCACGCGCGCGTGCTCGAGATGCCCGCGCACGACCTCGGCGCCTCGGCCGCGCGCAAGGTCGACATGGAGGCCTGGTTCCCCAGCCGCCAGGAGCACAGCGACGGCTGGGGCGAGGTCTCGTCCGCCAGCATCTGCACCGACTACCAGACGCGCCGCCTGCAGACGCGCGCGCGCACTGGCGGCCACGCGGCCGGGGGCGGCGCCGGCGGCGCCGACGTCGAGTTTCCGTGGACGCTGAATGGCACGGCGCTGGCGGTGCCCCGCATCCTGGCCGCGCTGCTCGAGGTCGGCTGGGACGAAAAGGCAAAGACAGTGGCGATCCCAGAGTGTCTGCGGCCGTGGATGGACGGGCGTGACAAGATTGGGCCGCCGACACACCGCAACAAGACGTCAAGTTGAGTTTTGGGAGGAAGAAGAGAACAACGGCATCTTTGTAGAGCTCGGTATTACAGGGGAGAGAGGCCTTGTCGTGTTTTTTTTTTTGCATGTACGAATATTTGCATTGAATCTGGCTTCTGCATCATGCTTTCATGGTCCCATAGAATATAATACCACTTTTTCTCTTACTGCTGCAAATTCTCAATCAAATCGGGAGACTAGATACTCTTGCTTGGGGTATTTTATCTCCTCAAATAGCAAACAATGTGTGAAAAAGTTATACGCTGTGCTGTCGTGACTCGTTAGATCATACACCCCCCCATCACCGCGGCGGCGGACTGATGGTGTTCCAGGTGTGGTTCTTGCTCATGGTCCGCCTGCGCAGATTCATCATGATGTCGTGCTCCATCTTGTTAATGTCCTTTTCCAGGTCCTCGTCGTCGCGGGCGTACTGCGCCTCCTTGCGGCGGTCATACCAGATCCAGATGCCCACAATGGCGCCTGTGATGGGGATGGTGAGGAGAAAGTAGACCCAGAGCTTGTCCGAGATGACGGGCTCGGCGTCTTTTGTTTTGCATCATTCGGGTCAGCTCTCTAGTTTTTGTGATGCTGCCGGGATTCGCAGAGGGGGGGCAAAGACAAACTCACTGGACTGAAAGTTGAAAAACGTCATGCTAAACACAGAGGCCAGAAAGGTGCCCGGGAGGAAGAGCGTGCCGAGCAGGGAAATCGTCTTCATGGCGGTGCTGTCGCGCTTGCTGGCATGGGCGATGCGGCGCTGCTCTCCGGCGATTTCGAGGTTGAGACGAGCCTCGCGCTGCGACATGATGTTGTATAGCTGCCAATTTGTTAGCCAGATGCCTCCATTCTCCATCTTCTGATTTCACAGCAACGCACCGCTTCTCTCTGCACCTTGAGTCTCTGCAACGTCGTGTGGATGTAATTCTCCAAGCCCGTCAGCTTGACCTTGTAAAAGTCCATGCGCGCCAGCATGGACCGGTGCAGCTTGTCCAGCTCCCTTCTCTGCGTCTCCCTCGCCTTCCTCGCCGCCTCGGCCCCGGCCCCGGCCTCGTCTTCCGCCGCCATCCGCCGGCGCGCCTCGTACATGTTCTTGAAGAGGCCCATGGCCTTTTCCATCTCGAGCGTCAGCGCCATGTACGCCTGCGGCCGCTTCCACAGCACGTTCGAGTGGCACTCGACCAGGTCGCGGTTGAGCCCGTCCACCTCGAGGCGGCCGTTTTGGAAGTACTGCTCCTCGGCCTCGACCTCGTCGCGCAGGCTGACGGCGTGCTCGAGGCGCCGCAGCCAGTCGCGCGCGTCGCGCTGCTTCTGGTCGTTGGCCGGCGCCAGGTCGTGCGCGAGGATGATGGTGGGCAGCAGCAGCGGGTGTCCGGCCTGGGCGGCGCACGCCCGCAGATGCCGCAGTGCCGCGACGATGTCGGACGATGGCGTGCCCTTGACGAAGCCCGACGTCACGCCCGTCGAGAAGCGGTGCGACAGCATCATCTCCCAACCGCGCGTCCGGCCCTTTTTGCGGACGTCGGACTTGCGATGCAGAATGTCTGCAAAGGAAATCGGGCCAAGGTTAGTAAACGAAAAGGCGTGGGGCGTTAGTTGGATAAGGAGTGGTGGCACACGTACGAAGATGGGGATCGGCATCGTCGTGGTCGTACGAGGTCCAGAAGAACGGCCCAACGACAGATGTGGTTTCGATGCCGCGAAAGGGCAGACGGAGAACCCGGACCATTTGCTCGTACACATCCTTGGGTAGGGACAGGACTTTGGGCATAAAGGTATCCTTGTCCTTGGCCTCGGTTTGGACGCTGCAAGAGTATCAGCACGAGTTGTACACGCTGCTACATCTTGGAGATTTGGTGGCACTCACACTAGTCGAATGCCACTCAAGAGGACTGTTCCGAGACGCAATTCCGGCGGCGTAAAAGCTCCCTATCAGAATCAGCATCGTCCTTCCTAGTCCATCCATTGCCCATTTCGAACCTACCCTTTGCTGGAGGAAATTGTCAAATTCATCTGGTGTGAGAGGATGCTCCTCGCAGGAATTATGAACAGGGTCCTATTCATCGTGTCAGTTGTCGTCGCATTCTCAGCAAGATACAGAGGCCGCCTACAGAGTAGTTGAAGATTTCCAGATATTTCGTCTCCTCATGCACCACACGGCACTCATTGACGTATTGGCGAAACAAATAGTCGTCCATTGTTTCTTGTCCAACGGCGCCAGCTACTTCTCCCCACAGTTGACGTGTTACCGCCAGAAAAAAAAGAAAAAGTTAAAGCAACGGACAGAAAGTAAGTCAGGCAAGCAGGAAGGGGGGGGGGTAATTAGCAAGCGCCTGTCGGAAAAGAAAAGGCTGGTGATTATCTCTCTCCGCCCACCTAACTAGTTAGTCGTCCGTACCCCAGCAAGGGACTGACACCTTTTAAAATGACGACGATTTTAATCGCAGCGCCAAGACAAACCCTTCAATCGCAAAAAAAAGAATGCGATGCAGGAATTGAAAACAGTCGGCTTGATTTTTCCCCCGAAAATCTCATCGAGGCTGCCCGCACCCGAGGGCCGTCTGTCCGCGTGGCTGATTGGTAACCATTTGTAGATCCCCAGCCTCCGCTGTTGTGCAGCATGGCTGCAGAAAAGTACCAACTTAAAAGTCTTGAAATGACAGAGTACGCATACGGATACAAGATACGCCCACTTGCGGATAGCGTCCTACAAATCGTGGCCCCTGTCATGCTCATCCGAATAGACTCGTCTAGAACTAGCACCGACACCAGCCATCTGCTCATCTCGGCAACTCTTCAAAAAAACCCTCCCCGTCGCTCCTACTTATAGAGTCAAAAATTCATATTCAAAAGGCTTTTTTTTTGTCTGATTTTCTTTCATCTCGTCAACACGGTATAGATATTGGTTATACAGATGCCTCTCATAGCGCATGTCAAAGACTTGGAGCGTGTGTTACTGTCCGGCGATGGTCTTGACCACTTCTTAGCCTCCCATCTGGTATCCGTCATCACCCAAACAAAACTAATCATCCTCGATTCTTGCTGGCCATCATGTCTTGTAACATGGTCCAACACGCAAGCGTTGTGCCGACTGCCCTGCAGTCGACGGGTAGGCACTAAGCTCACGTTCCAGTCTCGAATAGCTGGTCCACGTCCCCAGCAGTCGTCGACTTTCACCAGTCGACTTAAAACTCGGTAAATAGGTGCCCGTAACTAGCATGGTTGTTAGCAGCTGCATGGACATATTTTTTTGAGCAGTCACATACTCATCAGCTCCGCCAGCATGGCCATAGCCATCCGGATCCTCTGCATATCTATCAAACTGGCTCGCGTCGCCCGTACCAGCCTTGACGGGTGGTGTATACGGCGCATCGATATCCTTTCTAGCGAGTCGATCCCAGGTGACTTCAGAGAACCACGGGTGGTTCTTCACGTCGGTGGGGCCACCGTAAAGATTGCCAAGTCTCTTTGTCAAATCTGCCGTGATCAGTCGCTCCAGCAGGTTTTGCGCGTCGGCGTTAACGTATGCGGGATATTTGACTTTGCCCTTGAGGATGTTCTCGTATATTCTCATTGGCGAGCCACTATCCCAGAACGGTGTGTAGCCACAGAGCATTTCGTAGATGAGAATGCCAAGGGACCACCTAGCATCCATTAGCCATTGATATTGGACCGAGTTGGCCCATGTTTCTTACCAGTCTACTGACTTGTTGTAACCCTTGTTGGAGACAACCTCTGGCGCCAGATAATCCGGAGTGCCGCACAGTGTCCAGGTCTTGTCCGGAACACGCTTGGCGAAACCAAAGTCGGTAATCTTGAGATGCCCATGACGATCGAGTAACAGGTTTTCCGGCTTCAAGTCTCTGTAGATGATGTTTTTGGAGTGCAGGTACTCGATAGCCAGCGTGGCCTCGGCCGCATAAAACTTGGCAACGGGGTTGGGGAAACGCTGAGTAGACTTGTTAGCAGGCAATCTCGGTGTGATGCACAGTATGTGCCCAAGTGGCAGCTTACCCCGGACTTTCTCAACAGCGAAAAGAGCTCGCCGCCTTCAACAAAGTCCATGACCATGTAAAGGTTCTTCCAGTCCTGGAAAGTACCCCAGAGGGTGATGAGAAAAGGATGCTTGACATCGCTGAGCATGCGGCGCTCGTCGTTGGTGTGCTCGACCTGCTTCATCTTGACGACTTGTGCCTTCTTCAAAACCTTGATGGCGTAGAAACGTTGGTTATGCTTGGACTGGACTAGATGCACTCGACCGAAACTACCGGTACCGAGGGTTCTGAGGATATCAAAGTCTGTCAATGTGTATTTGCCCTTTGTCGTGCGAGGCTGGGATATGGAGACCTGCTGGTGGTGATGGCCTTGGTGCTGCTGCTGCATCTGCTGGGCCTGCTGGTAGAGGGGCACCTGGTGATGCTGCTGCTGCTGGGGCTGCATGGCGGCGGCGGCGGCGGGTGGGATAGGATGAGCCTGCTGTTGCTGTTGTCGAAGTCGCTCGGGGTCGGTGCCAGGGCTCTCGCTGGCGGCATGGAGGTTCTGAGGGATGAGGTTGGCGGGATAGTGAGAATTGGGGTATCCGTTGTTGTTGTTGGCAGCAGCAGGGTCGGGCTGCTGCGTGTTCATTAGGTTGCTGATGGTCGGGAGGTTTTGGTGTTGGAGGGTCCCTGCCCCTCCGTATGCGGGATTCATCAGGAACTGGTTTTGCGGTTGCGGTTGCTGGGGAGCCTCGCTAGCAGCTTGCGCCTGCTGCTGGGAAGTTGCGGTCGTCGAGGGCGGGTTCGGGTTCGCGGCGTGGGCGGCGCCGTGGCTGGGCGGACCTGCCTGAGACGCGGAAGCGGAGGCGGCGGCGGCGGTGATCGCGGCAGCGCCGGCTGGCTGGCGGGACGAGTCAAAAGGCTTCGAGTTTGTAGGCGCGACCGGGCTGGTGGGGTTTGACGATGACGGATCAGAGATACCCTCTCTCGTCCTCTTCTTCTTGAGAAAGCCCAGGCCAGGCATGTGGTGAGAGCGCGAGTGCGCGGTTTGGTTGTTGGGGGGAAGAGGCGGGGAGGGTGAATTGGCCTTGGGCCTGGAGCAAGCGAGTCGTCAGGCCAGTCAATGGCACAGTACACGATTGGCGAAGATGCGACAGGCTGGAACAAACAACGAAGAAGGATGCGAAAGCGGGAGAAATCGCGAAAGCGGGGTGATGGGAAGGATAACTACCTAGAGGTAGCACGGGCGGTACTGGTACTGGTACTGGGAATAGCGGATGAGTTGCTGGGCTCGGGGTCTGCCAAGTATCCTTTTCGCTTGGGTAGCAAGCTGAATTGGAATTGGGCGCGGACGGCAAGGATTCGCGGCCGGGAAACGAGTCTACAAAAGTGAGGCGAGCTCGAGGATCCTAGCAATGCTGACGTTTGGATAGGAAGAGACCAAGGGACGAGGGGTGTAGAGAGGCAGGAGACGAGCCAAAGGCTTGATTGACAGACAGACAAACGAGAAGTGGTGTTGAAGGTGGGTGGAGGACGAGGGAGATGCGGGGGTGATGAGAGGTACCTGACCGGGCCGCTAGAGCCCACGCAGACGGCATGTACCTTGTACCTTGGGACCTTTGGCAGCTCACCCAAGGTTGCACTGCTTTTAGCTTGGCCCGCCTCGGGCCAAGCAACCACCGCAAGTAGCTTTCCGGATGAGGCCTTGCGACGCTGGCGGTTGCGGTTGCGAGCCAAGAATCAGGCGCAGAGTTGTGCTGGGAGTTGTGATGAGTATCAGAAACATTCGTGCCATTGAATACTATTACATATTAGGAGCAGACACAATTTCCCGCTCCCCTCCCGTGGGTTGATACACCTAGGAACTAGGTACCTACCACCTACCACCTATGTACCTTGAGACCTAGTTACGACTATACAAAGGACATTGAGAAAAATTAGAGCAATTTCGGATTCCAAAATGGAGTACGGATTAACACGGGACTATTTCTTGACAGTGAATAATCCATTCACATTTTGAATACAGAACAATGTACACACCACTTATGTATGTGTGTGTCCCTGTCTGGTACCTACATCAGGCTACATTGCTGCCAGCCACAGCGCATGTTAGTGGAGCTGCCTGCTGTGGGTGGCCTCCTGCAGGTGGCACGCCATACGGAGTACTTTCCATCGTACTGCCACCATCCATCAGCAGCGCCCGCTCACGCCCATGTCAATCGCGATCTGAGGCAACATTACAAAAAGAATACAACATGGAATGGTATTGCCGACTAACATCTAGCTACTTCTCGGGGTCGTCGCAGCTCCCGCCACCCCAGTCTCTTGTCCCACCAGGTAGCGGTAGCGGCACCAACCGCACAATGGCCCCGGGAGGTTCCTTGTAGATTTGTCACCAGCCACGTCGAAGATCCCTTTACGTTGTCCGCCCAGCTTCGTCACATCACCGGCGTTTCATCCCAGTTACTGTTGGGTTCAAACTGCCTGCTCAAACTGCCCGCTTTGGCCTCCCCTCACAGTCTCTTACCACCAGTCTGGCATCCTGAGGTATCAAGGTCACGCTGACGGGCCAGAGCGGTATCGAAAAGAGACGCAGGTTGAAAATAAATGAACAAACAATATCAAAGTAAAACAACCATCACATTCTTCGAATCACAAGGCACCCCACGCTCAACTCCCAATACTGCATTGCGGCCCATCCCATCCATACCTACCCAGCAAGCCTCTCTCCCTTGCTAGTTGCTGCCGCCACAATTGCTTTCAGTCAAGAAACAACAAGCCCCATGCCGACGACCATCGTATCATGACCACAGAGACCCCAGAAGATCTGCCGTCGATAGCTGAACCGCGGGTCCTTGGGCGTACAATAGACTTTGAGCCTGAACGGAACCCTTCCCATTCCGGCGACAACATGCCATGCCGCCGGGTCGAAAAGCGGAAATACTTTTCGAGGGCAATAAGGTAACTACAAAACCACATGACACTGAAAGCAGAGTTATGCACGAGTTATCCATGTTTGTCCTTTTGATTACCCTCCAATTGTACATGCGTAGCTTTCAACTCGACTCTTCTAGTTCCACATGGGCAACTATTTCCCCAACCTACAAAATTGCGATATGTCACAACAGCTTGGCAAACTGCCCGCTTTTGGCTCCCCTCACAGTCTCTTTACAAGATGAAAAAAGCAAATGTCGACAAGATCCATCATCTTGTCTTCCCCACCACTACCCAACATGCACCAATCTCGCTCTCGAGCTTAGAAGCGGTGGCTGCGGAACTTGGCGCGGTATGCGGTGAAGCCGACATACGCGCCGCCGACGGCGATGAAGAAGAATATGACCTTGGTAAAGAACCACGTCCACGAGCCATCACCCTGCGACGACGTCTTGTACCCGCCGCGGCCGCCGTCCTTTTTGTTATTGGCATTGTTCTGCGGCGACGACGGCGAGCCCGGGTTGGCGTACAGGTTGTATGTCTTGACCGAGACAATGTCGTGGTTGTCGCTGAGCTCGCCCGTCTCAGCGCTGAAGCCGAGGTACGCAATGTTGGGCAGCTGGGGCGGGCGGTCCACGTTAAAGCACGTCAGCCACTCGTCCTCGTTCTTGTACTGCAGTTCCAGCCGCAGGTACTTGTCCTGAAAGTACGTCAACCGCAGCTTGGTCGGCACCGACGCCTGTCGGATGCCCCGCGCTGAGCAGCCCGCCAGCTCCGCATCCTTGCCGTCATTGTTCTTGTCGTAATACTTGCTGCCGTCGCTGTGCATGGCCATGACGTACGGAAACACCACGCCCGGCCGGTTATTCTTGTACGTGTCCACAAACACGCCCAACCCGTCAAACTTGTCGCTGCTGCCAAACACCGGGCCCATCTCACCGCGCTGGCGCGTCACCCACATAGCGAAGCCGTCGCCAAACAGCTGGTTCTTGCCCGATATCTTGAATTCCACCTCCACCTCCCAGTTGGTCGCCGTCAGCGGCACACGCGAGAACAGCCAGCCGCTCTGCGAAGGGCGGTCCGAGGTCAGGCGGACGTAGCTAAGTCGCCGTGTTAGCGCATGGAAAGTCGTTGCCCTAGAGCGAGAGCCAGGGGCTCAGGTCGGTGCAAAGACGTACGAATCGGTGCGCACAATCGTGTCGCCGCCAAAGTCGAACCATCGGCTCTGCATATCCGAGTCGAGATAGGGCTTCAACCCGTAATTGTTAGCAACCAGCCATATCGTATCCTCACGTGCCTCCATGCCATCGCATTGACTGACCTGCTCGAGTGTGTGTGTTCGGAGCTGTAAACAGCAACCATGTTAGCATATACCACCAATTGTACGCTCTATCCTCGTCTCCCATCACGAACCGATATGCGTCGCATGTCATCCTGCGCCTGTGCACCCCAGGCCAGGGCGCCGACAAGCACGGCCGCGACCGAAGAGTACCACATGCTTGGGACGGCGGTCTATAAGCTGCCAGAGCAAGATGTTCAACAGCTGTGCACGACTATCTCGGGCTGGAATCCCAATTCGAAACTATCGTAGGTCCTTGTAGTTGAAATTCGTTCGTCCGCGACCCGTCGTGTCGAGATCCGGGGAAGCTTTGCTGGCGTTGTAGGGAAAAAGAGTGCGGTTGGTTAGTGGTCCCTAGCTACAGCTGTCCTCTTGAGCAAGTCGGGGTCAAATGGAAGGTCGCTGGACATCCCTGCCAGCCTTGCGCCACACCGCAACCAGCCACAGTTTGCGCCACATTCTTTTTTACTTTGGCATGTTCTCGTCGCAAGCTTCCCATCTCGACTTCAACACTTCGACCAAGCCAATTCGTTCCATCCACACAACTTTTGCAACAATGTCCGCAGACTCTGAAACCGTCAAGAAGGCTGTTATGAAGCAGGTCCTCGAAGAGTCCAATCTTGCCAATGCCCGGACGCTGATTGAGGTGCGTTTTGCATACTGTTCCCCCCGTTCGCCCAAGCTTTCTATCCAAAGCCCTGCGCCAAATATAAGACTGACCGCAAATTCCGCAGAATGTCCAAATAAGCTGCTTCGAAAAGTGCATCACGAAACCTGGCAGCTCCCTCTCCAAGAGCGACCAGTCCTGCGTCACATCCTGCATGGAAAAGTACATGGCCGCATGGAACCAGGTCAACGCCGCCTTCATCACCCGCGTGCGCCGTGAGCAGGGCGGCCTGTAAAGAGAAAAAGACGGCGACCAATCGATTTGTACCATTAGAAGGATCGGACGAATATCACGAACAAGAGGCAAGGCATACGTGAGCGCCTCTGCCAAGCTAATAATGGAACCCTGAGAAACTGGATACCATTGTAGCTGCTGCTACGACTGAGAAGAGAAGCGGCCTGTACAATATTTGACGCGGCTTCTTTTGGATTATTTTGTCCTGGATACATGTACCTATAGATTCGAGCTGCCATACTAAGCTCAGATAGAAGAATAATGTTCATCTCGGAAAGTTAGTGTTGGGAAAGATGAAGGTGCGCCGCCTGCAAGGGTATCTATTGTTGTACATATATCTCGTCTGTAAATATCTTCACGGCGCAGAGACGCCCGCCTTTTTAGCTTCGTCCGCTGCCCGCTTTCTGGCCAGGTATCTCTCCTTGGCGCTCGAGATTTCTCCGTCCGTCTTGCGGCTCTTGGACGCCCGCTCCATCTCCTGCTTCTTGGCCTCTTCCTCGTCGTACGCGCGTTTCAGCGATTGCTCCAGCTGCTCCTCCATCTGACGCGACTGGCGCTCCCGCATGGCCTGCCGCCTACCGGCCTGGCCCGGCGCGGGGCCGTCCTTGGACTCGCGCTGGGCCGCCTTGTGCTGCTGGGCAGCCGCCGGGACGGCCGCCTTCCTCTTGGGGTCCAGGTTCAGGCCGCCTCGGAGCAGTTGCCTCTTGTCCACCACCTGCCCGTCCTCGTTGACGTCAACGGAGGCGCCTTTTTCGTTCATGGCTCGGGCGCGCGCCGCTTGCGCTTTATCGCCGTCCTCTTCTTCCTCTATATCCGGCTCATCGGCATCCTTGTTCAGGGTCGCAGTTTTGGTCATCTCCTCTGCTGCCTTGACGGACTCGGCGTGGCGCTGCTCGTCCTTGTTCAGGAGTTGGCGGTAAAAAGCCGACATACCCCCGCCCTGGTTTTTCTTGGCCTCCTCCTCTTCTTTCCTCTTCTCTTCCGCTTCTATAAGCCTGTTTTCCTCTTGCTGTTTTTTATATGCTGCCGTCACGAACTTTTCCTTGTCGGCAAACTCGTCGCCTTCCGCTTCACGATCGCGTGCAATCTTCTTCTCCTCGGCAATGAGCAGATCGCGCTTACGCACGTCCGCTGCTTGTATCAGATTCTTCATATATTTTGGCTTCTTCTCGACGTCTTCCTTTGTCGCTTGCTTTTTGGGCTTGAACGAATCGTACACATTGTCGTATTCGTAGACGTTGGCGTCCACCTCAGCCGCGGCGGCGGCATTCTTGCGCGAGGCGAACGAGCTCGACAGATCGCCAAACATGGCGTTGGGCTGTGTCTTTGCATTCAGTTTCGGTGGCGGGCCATTGGAAGCCAAGCTAGGTTTCGATTTGGGCTTGCGCGGCCCAGAGTCTTGTTGCGGTCGCGAGCTGCCGAAATCGCCGTCGAGGTCGCCACCAATAGCCTGGGCCTTGGTGCTGGCATTTTGATCGTCTCCGTCAGAGTCGGAATCATCGCCGCCAAACATGGGCTTGCGGCGTGGTGCCGCGGGCTTGGAAGCGCCGGGCTTCTTGAGGTTCAGCCCGAAGGCGAGTGGTTTGCTCATTGTCGATCCGATCGCGGCGCGCACATCGGTTACTGCAGAGTGGTAGTCTCTGGTTAGCTTTAGGGGTGATCGAAAAGATTGTGATTATTGTCGGCCGGTTGCGCTCTCGCTGCGACGTGTTACAGAGGGATTTCGCGTCGTTATTGCAGAATTCGGCAGCTGTTTTCAAGTGGCCGGCATCAAGCGGCCGGCACTGTTGTCAAGCGTTCAGTACGAATTTACAGTGGAGCTAGCCACAGGCGCGCCAACCCAGGCAGGACAGGCAGGAATACACAACAACTCACTGATTGTCAGGCTCACAACAGTCTGACAGGAGCTAAGTGAATATTGCTCTATGAAACAATAAAGAAAACCCCCTATTTGAAATTTTACCAAATACGTCAAGCATAGTTGACCTGCGCCATCCTGACTGATAGCAGCGCATGCCACTGAAACCGGCTTACAGCACGAGTTCATGCGTACCTAGGAAGAGACGAGTTTCCGTCTCGCGCGCAGTTCCAAGTAAAAGGCCACTTCGATGCGATGATTCAGGCTGATAGTCAACTTGACACGTCTTGATCTGATATCATCTGCGCCCAAGTGTGTAAGTGCAGGGCTGACCAGGCGGCTGTGATCAGTCAGCTTTTTGCCCCGCGGCATCGGCACTAACATGACGGCGATCGCTCGCCATCGAGGCAATCCCGGGCTTTTATTCATATCCTACAACTACCAACCTAGAAATCAGTACAGAACTCAGTAAACCAACCGACTTGCTTTCCTGAAATATACTACCTGCACAGACAACTCCCTACCTTCAGCCCCTAGCACCTCACCGGTCACCTGTCTCTATCCGTCGTGACCCATTCGCCACGCCTGCCTCCACCTGTACACGACAACTAGAAAATGGAGATGTGCAGTACTTGCGCGACGATATTGACTCCCGAGGGCGGGGAATGCCTCTCCGAGAAGCCGCCACCAGATCAGCGCAGGGTACCTTGCTGCGGTAGGATTATATGTGGTGACTGCATCGTGGTGCGTATAGTATAGCAGACGCCTCTGTGACGTACATCCAGCAACCTCGTGCTAACGACAACTGCACCTCAGAATAACCCTCGCTTCGCAGCCTATTGCCCCTACTGCCAAATATCCAGCGAGCCCAACCCACTACCGCAAGGCCTCAAGGCACCTCCAGCATACCAAGTATCCCAAATACACACCAGACGCCAACGGCCGCCTGTCTCGGACCCTCCTCCGTACATGTCACGCGACGGCGCCAGCAACGACGAAAAAGCCGGCGCCGACGACACGCTGCACTTTCTCAACCACGAGCACGACAGCATCCTCTCGCTGTCGCTGCGGTACGGCGTGCCCCAGGACGCCCTGCGCCGCGCCAACCACATCCACAGCGACCACCTGCTGCTCGCCCGCAAGACGGTCCTTATCCCCGGCGCCTTTTACAAGGCCGGCGTCAGCCTCTCCCCGCGGCCCGTCGAGGGCGAGGCCGAGGAGCTGCGCAAGAGCAAGATTCGCCGTCTCATGACGGCCTGCAAGCTCGTCGACTACGCCGTGGCCCAGCTATACCTCGAGCAGGCGGGCTACAACCTCGAGCGCGCCGTCGACAGCTACGTCGGCGACGAGGCCTGGGAGCAGGCGCAGCGTGATAAGAGCAAAAAGAAATCATATTGGTTCTTCGGCAGCACGAGATAGTAGTATAGCACAATTTTTAGTAGCATATTGCCATATATAGATATCTTATTGTAAACTTCATTATTTTGGACCTCATGTAAAACTCCAATATGCTCCGCCAGTGACCATCTTGATCCGGGGTTTTTGGTTGCCTCGCACAATAACGCCTGTGATATTCCTTTTGTCCAAATAGCCATCCACCTAGAACTTTGTACACGTAACTCGCTGATAAAACATACATCATCATCAAAAGGCCGATCTCGCGCGGATATCAGAAATCTTTCGCTCAATCTCGCGGACGGAGCGATCTAGTTCTCCAGCAATCATCTGCTTCTTGTCATTCGGCAAAATGGAGAATCGTTCGCACAAATCTCCATCAATCACACCCTTGACTGGCGCATAGTAGCTCCGGTACATGAGGTGATCCCGCCCAGCAAGAGGTCCATCTTCTGTACGGAGGTGTTGTTCCAAGCTTTGGAAAAAATCGGTATCTTCGCGACTGACAAAGGGGATAAAGACACCAATGGTTCCCATGATACCGCTCCAAAGTAAGACATCTTGCCCTCCGACAACCAAACCGGTCTTGTTGATGCTAGTCAGGATATCTTGTGTGAAGAAATGGCACATCAGCTCTAGACGATGCTGCGTACCGTGCAGGTAGTCACGAGCATTGACTAGATGCAACCCAGCCGCATCTTCATCCGCCTCTTCGCTGGCCTTGGCAGGACTGCGAACAATAAACATGTTGCCAAACTTGTCGCCGCCTGCGACTGATTCGTAGTCAACCATGGTCGTGCATGTGCTCCACCGTGCGATACTGTCATCGACAAACGGAATAAGCTTGTTCGAAGCGCTCTTGTAGACGACAAGTGTCACGCCCTGCTGAACATCGCTTACGACAATGCGGCTTCCTTGCGTATTAAGCGACACAATCTGCTGAGGCACCACTTCCGCCTGGGCCTTGCGAAGCAGCTGGCGCATACCCAAGTCGTACATGCGAAGTGTCTTGCCAATACCTGCCAAAAGTTTGCCCTGGAAGGGTAACAAAGCCGTCGCCGGTTCTTCAATCTTGGTCTTGTGAATGAATTCGAGTTCTCGGCCACCTTGTTGAAAGCGATAAATGTAAATGTACGCCTCTGATGAGCTTCGCGGATTGAGAACAATATCCTTTCCCGTGCCTACAACCAGGAAGCTTTCGTTGTCCTGGCTTGCAAAGCTGACCACAGCGACACTGACAGCAGCCTCGTTATTCTCGAAATCGACCCTTTGCAGCACGCTCGGTTCTTCCGACACTGGGTCGACCACGCTAATACAAGATGCCCAGCGACGGTTGCCTCTAGGGTGGCCAAAATCTTCAGGTGGTAGTACCTTGGCGTCGCCATTAACGGCGGCAGGGTCTGCCAAAAGCTTTGCCTGCAGATCTGGGGGCAGTGTGTGATTATCTGCTTCTATCGTGTAAAATAGGGGCTCATCTGGGTGCTTGACGAATTTCTTCGGCGTATATGTTAGGGGAATCGAACTTTGAAGCAGGGTCTCGCCCAGGCGGTCTATCGAGAAAATCCTGTACACGGTTAGTACTAAGTCCTTCAACCTATGTTGCAGTTATAGAAGAGGGTATGAGAGTGCATATCAGTAGGAACAATTGAAAAAAAATTAATCCTCATCGCCGTTTGGCTTGGGATCTCTTGTCTCATCATATGGCACTGGGGGGCGAAAAAAGGACAAAGAGTTGTAATCTTACCTCAAAGACTGCCCTTGGATGCCGACAACACCGTCTTCGCACTGTTCACTGCTGAAGTTCCAGCCCCATTCAAGATCAACGTAGCTTAATGGGGTTATCTCGAAACTGCTTGTGATAGGGTTGGCATATCCAAGCCAAGGACGCGAGCTTAGTCCTAAAACGCATGTCCGGCCACCAACAGTAACCTGGAATAGCCGGACGGGTTTAGGTCCCAGGAATTTTTGCCGCGTATCGGTCAGTTCTCCCGTAATCTCGTCTAGAACAGTGCGGAGATAGACGCCAGAATGGAGACCAATATGCAGGTAGAGTGTTGATCCGCCCGATGACGAATCGTCCATAGGAATGATGGCCAGAGATGTCGGTGCCGCGGTCAACGCTTGGACTGATTTGTTCTCGAGGGTCGACTCCGGGTCGAGACTCAGAATACGAACGGTAGAATCGTCGCAACCGACAGCGAGGAAGGAGCTGCGAACACGACCTTCAGGTACCTCGCCCAGGCTGAGGGCAGTGACGGTACCAAACATTTCCTTCTTCTCATCGTATTCAGCGAGAGATCCGTCCGAGTCCATTTCGAAGTAGACGATTTCACCAGAGCTAAGCGCAATGGCTACTTGGTGTGAATTGGTTGATGCTGCAACAATGGATCTATGTTGAGGGGCTGACCACTCATTGACATTTCCATTGCGAATATGTCTGATTCCCCTGGGATGCACTTGAATAAGTCCATCCGTTCCGAGAAGTTGTGCTGCAATGGTGGGAACGCTGGTGAGGAATCCCGAATCGCTCACTTCCTCAACGGTCTCACCGATGCTAAGCACCAAGGTGCCGTTTGTAAATGACAGGACAATATACGCGTCGTACTGCTCGTCGCTGTTCAGTTTCAGAGTCCAAACTGCCGAAGGAACGCCAGGAAGCTCGGATGCGACAATCTCATTTACCTCCAAGCCATGCTTGAGGGTTCTGAATGTGCTCCGCGCGCCGTTACCACAAATGGTGAAAATTTGGGGAGCATCCTCGCCTGTCAGGTTGGCTACCTTGCAATCTAGTAGCGGGTTCATGGCAGGAATACTGTCCACAAGAGCCAGATTCTCTGCTAACCTGGGGTAGAAGTAAACAGGTTCATAGGCAGCCAGAGGATCGACCGGGAAGTCTTCACTCGAGAATTCAACTTCGTCGTCGTCATCACCGAGCTTCTCGAATTGGTAAAAGGCGTAGTTGCCGAATTGGCTCGCAACGTAGAGAAAGCCGCTCTTCAAAATGCAGAGGCTCGTGGCAACTGGCACTGTGTCAAAATACTTGATCTTCATCCGCTGCACTTCGCCAGTTGGAGCTCCCTCTTCATCCTCAACCATATCGATGGTTATCTTGAATAGATCGCCATCGTCAGACTGTAATAAGAAGAAGAAAGCGCCGGCACTTCCCTTCAGTTTATGCATAACGCCAGCCACAATATTGCGTTTTCGGGAAGGGTCTTCGGTGGCACCTCGCCGGCGAGGGATAGGCACACGTAGAGCATCTTGGTTTGAGTGGCGGTACGTGATATTTTCCTCGCCACAGACCAGAACACCACTAGGACCGTCGTTGCCTCCCGGTACCTGGAAGAGAAGAGAAGCAGTGGGGTCAACAGGGTCGGACCATTTTCGCACGACGTGGTTCAGTCCCAGGTCCAGCTCGTAGTATACGAGTTGAGTTTCAACCTCGGACAAAGCTTCTCCCGTGATATCTTGGTCGACCTCAGTGTACTCAATCTCCAAGGCGGCAAAGACAGGGTTCGCGTAGCCGACGTCAAGGGCAACCATGGCAATGACCAGCACACCAGGTTTATGTGCCTCCAGGGGAGAGGAGATTGTGAGCTCTGCTTGCGAGTTGCGGTTGAGAACATAAACGAGCTTATTCTTCTCGACAGCAGATATCAAGCAAGCTCTTCCCTTGGGATCGCATGCAAGGTATTCGCCCGGCACGACTCTGCGAATACCCGATTTGCCAAAAGTTTCCATATGCAGACGGTTGAAACGGTTCGGTCCGGGAAGATACTCCAGGATTGTGATGCGCCCCGAGTCAGTTGCGAGAATGATATAATCTATACGTTGTTAGCCTATCATGTTTAGGGCAGGACGCGACGCGACAGTGGCTCATTATGGTTAGCTAACCTTTATTGCTTCCCGCGAGACGAAAAACAGCGATTGAGCGCAGAATCCCAAATATATCATGAGAAAGCAGGGCGATTACCTTGCCCTGAGCTGGATCAGGACGCAGAAGAGTCAGCTGCGACCCAGAGCCCGTGATGATGAGCTGCTCCTTTGTGCCAGCAAACTGCCCCAGAACTGCTTGGACGACATTGGTTGGCGGCTGAATCGTCAGCGAGTAAAGGAACATGTTAGAAGTGGTCGCCATGTTCCTTTCTGGGCGCAGATGAGCCTGCGAGGCTTAGAGCAGTGGTTAGAGAGTGGGCGTCGGCCGCAGAGTTTCTCTACATTCGTAGTTCGTGGGATGGCTCCAGAACAGCTTCTGCAAGATTTAAAATGTTTGGGGGTTGGACAATGGTGCTTGGCCATGGAGGAAAGTTAATGCGGCTTAGAGTGGGGCGCGCTGTGGCATCTGCGCTCTTCGGATCAGGATAACAGAACGCCAGTTGACTATATTAATCAGAATAACAAAAAGCTCCAAAATATGCACAGTTACAGCTGATTTTAGAGTATTTGTTTACATTTACGGAAAGTTGGTGCGACCAGTAAAGCGTGCGGTCACATTCCCAGCCCAGTCCCATGGAACACCCCAAAGTGGGCCGAGAGCTCCCTCCTCTAATAAGATGCGTAAAAAAACATCCGACAATACGATTTGTCCACGACTCAACCGCATCAAGACCAGAGCAGTCTTGCGACAATTCAGCAACTATGGAGCCGTCCTTTCGTCGCGCGGCGCAGAGCCTCTGTGGGCAATGCTCGACGGCTCTGCGTGGGCATCTAGCTCAGCGAGGTGCTACCAGACAGCTCGCGGCCATGTCGAGCCTCTCCAAGACTTCAGCCACTGCCTCGACCAAGCAGGCAGTCAAGGCTAAAAGTGTGGCTACGCCTGTAGCCAGGGAATATTCCTCTCAGTCCGCGCCGTCGTTCAGCTTCAGCAACTCCGACAAGCCTCCCGTACCGACCTCCGTCAAGCTCTCGCAGGATGACCTGTTTCACTCCTTTACCGACTCACCCGTGCCCGAGTTCCGACGCCGCGCCGCATTTATGCGCGAACATGCCTGCTGCCCTCACCCAGACCACAAGCCGACAAAAATTTCGACGCTCCCTCTGGCCGAGCAGCCCAAGACAGGTGACATGCCTCCCGCAAAGGTCAATTTTGAATGCCCTGACTGCGGCATTCCCGTATACTGCAGCAAGGAGCATTGGATGGATCACTACGAGGAGCATCTGAAAATTTGCGATACTTTGCGACAGATCAACGAGGATGAACATGATTTGCGCTCTGGTAGAGTCTTCCATGAGGCCAATCTGCCTGATCTCCAGCTTGATGATGCCGCCGTGAACATGACCAACTGGGACACATTCATGTACACTCGCGAGTTCAATGCTGTTGACTCGGACCGAGGCATGCGCCAAATCACTCGTCTTTTGACGTACCCCGTCACAGTTGGCAGTGTTCTTCATGAACTTAGCCCGTACAATATCCAAAGCGGAGGCCGTCTCACCACCGAAGGTCTCAAGAGTTTCAGCGGTACGTGATTTCGACTGATGTGCTCGATTCGACATGTTGGCTAACACTACTAGCTTTGAGATATAACCTTCACCCCGGCCGCTCCGGACGCGGTGCTACGATTCAGACACTCCGCCCTGAGCCGCCACCTGTTCGAGTCTTCGTCCTCGGAGCTCGCGCAGAGTCTTCCCTGCCCCGATCTACCTGGGTGCAGCTTGCGCATCTGTTCCCCGAGTCTAGACTGCACCTCATCATGATTGGTCCCGAAAGCATGGCTAATCGTGATGATGAGTTTCCTCTTCCCGAACGCACACCTTCGAACCCATTCGGTGCAATTGTCGAGGACAGGGTCTGGTACAAGATGAAGATTAGCACCATTGTGGACTACTACCACACCATACACAAGACTGGTCACTTTGCACCATATGATCCGTACTTTGACTGCTTCGTTCTGTTCCACCCTGGCCTTGGGCATCCCGCAAGCAGCCATGAGTGGGAGGAGACTCTGCCCCTTCTTTTGGAGACCAAAGTGCCTATTATCAGCACTGGCTATACACAGCAAGATCTTGACCGTGACGTCGAGTGGGTGCGAAACAAGTCGCGGGGCGAGTTTGACATGCTGCTAGAGCCTGGCGAGAATAGTTTCAGAAGTCTGCGATGGGATCTCAACGACGCTGACCCTCAGGACACCACTTGCGGCAACTGGGGTGTGTGGGCATTCCGTGGCAAGAGGTTCGTTTTTATTTTCATGAATTCAAATTTCGGGCATCTACTGACATTACTTGCAGATATGAGACCACAGCCAAGGACGAACCAGTAAGCTAAACGACCAGGGTAGGACCTCGCGGCAACACGCACATTCTCATGTAATCTATAAAGTAACATGTAACTGTATGTACAACAGATAGCGAAATAGACCAAGCTCCAAACATTGTATGTTTATCAATTGATAGATAAATTTGTCGCCGAATAATGTCTTGGCTCGAGTTGGACCTTTTACCACCAAGTTTGACTGAAGTTATACTTGCCCTACCCATTGCTGCACGGATTGCTGCAGGAGACAACATCATGTGGAGAGATGCTGGTGACCGTTGCGTTGCGGGGCTTTGGCGGGAACGTTCGCTGCAACCCACTGTAAGAAACGGAATTGGCAGCTGGCCCCTACGACCTTAATTAGGTACGTAGGTATCTGGACTGCAAACTTCAACAACACAACGTACGGCTCTCACTCCCAGTACACAAAAGACGACCAGGCCTTTACCGGCGGGCTGTTGATATGCGACTCGGTTCAACGCAGTAGTGGGACCTTTTGATGAGCGCCTCCGTGGCCGCGCCCCCTGCGAGGCTGGCCGCCCCGCGCAGTCGACCATCAGCTACCCAGCATCACCGCGATGCAGCCAGCGGCGGCGATGGGCGACGCGCGGAGAGAGCGTCTTCCATAGACCCTTTATCCGATAGGGCGACGCTGATGCTTATCCGCCGCGTCCTCTGTCCCCAGAAATTGAGCGACAAGGGCCGTGACGTGCTTCCACCGATCGAGGAGCTGCTCCCTTCCCTGACGAGCCGAAACGATGTCGACCTGCAGCTGTATGCATTCCTCGCCATCATTATTCGCGAGTTCGTGCAGGCCTGGTACAACAAGATTACGCCCGACGAGACCTTTGTCGCAGAGGTCCTGCAGGTCATTGCTCACTGCAGTAGGGCGCTGGAGCAGCGCTTCAGGGCTCTGGACGTGGAGAGCTTGGTGCTGGATGAAATTCCTGATCTACTGGATAGGCATATCACAGGTAGGCGCAGAGCGCATATCATGCGAAAGGGCTGGGCCCCTTGCTGACGATCAATAGCGTACAGAATGAGCCATGATCCGGTGTCGCAGGAGCCGGTAGCTGTGAACCCCCGACAAGTCTACCATGCGCTCTTTCCACTGCCTCAGCTATCTCCTGTACCTCAAGCTGGTGATGCAAAGTCTTCCCAGGAGCAGATGGAAAACGAGACTGCTTACCGTCAACTGTTGGTGCAAGCCGTTCTTGCTATTCTGCTGCCGACGGAAGACTTGGAGAATCCGTGTCTGACAGCTATTGTCGGACAAATACTCTCTGAGCTCATTGTCGGTAATCTGATTGCGGGCAAGGCATCGCAGCCCTGGCTCCTGTACGAAAGTATCTGCATCGCGGGCAGGGTCCTTGGCGAGAAAAAGATACGGGCCACCCAGCGAATGGTCTCTGGTCGGCACGCGCCGCCAGTCAAGGCCAAGGGCAACAAGGAGCGCATCAAGTGGTCGGCGCAAGCCGTATTCCTGACCATGATCCACTTTGCGGTGATGATATTTACATCTGCTCGGTTATTGATCACGACACTAGTTGCATCATCCTCATTGCCGCTACGGCAAACGGCGGTGGACTTTTCGGGCGGCTCGAGAGCTACCGGGGCGCACCGCGATGTCAACAACCATGGCAGGCCCACCAAGGTTCCAGTTCTTGATTTCAAAGTATGGCAGTGTGTCGGGAATCTCATTCAGCTAGATTCCCGCATGCCGTGGCTGTCGGGCTTTCTTTCGCTGCTACAGTATCAAGCTGTCCACGGACCGGGAAGGCTGGTAGGCCTGAATAGCCCACTTGACCGGTAAGTCTGCTATTTTCTGCTTCCTCGCCACCCTTGCCTCATTGCCTCATTCCACACATCCCTTGTTCCTCCTTTTTACAGATCATGTGATGCCACTTTATATCCCGCATTCTACCAACGTCACGCGGTCTTGGTACTAGAGCAAGACGCGCGCGGGCAAGCGTCCGCACCGGCCCGCCTGCCAAGGGCCGACCCGAAGCTGTCCAACCGCGACGCAGCCTGGTGTGAATATGAGATGCCGGATTCATCCTCGACACCATGGTGTGCAAATATCATCAGACAAAAGTGTTGGCGTGCTTTTGACGGAAACCCACAACTTGCTGTTCGTTCGCCTAGCTTCAACGCTACGGTCCAATGGTAGCACAAAGTTCACCTTTCGCCCTGCGATTGATCAATCGAGTGGCCCGTCTCAACGAAGCCATCCAACCACGCATCGGGATCGTCCAATTTACGCGCCCAAGTTGACAGGGGGCCTGCGCCACGCACGCAATGTACCTGGGACTGTTACGTCCTCCATGACTTCCGCGTGCGCCTTCCTCTGGTTAGGCCGGTACAACATGACGCTTATAGCGTTGTCATCATCATTTGCCATTAGCCTTCGCCGTCACCTTCCCGCAAGCGAGGCAATGCTAAAGGCCGAAGGGTAGCAGCCATGGTGCTACCATCCGAATCTCTCCATGATGGACCCAGGCATTTGTACGACTTGTGAACAATGGCCGCCCCGTCTCTGTGCGTCCTTGATGGCATGCCTGCGTCCAACGGCCGTTGGTCCGTGCAGACTGCCATCACGGCTGCATTGTTGGACAAGATGTTGACTAGTTATGTGCACGTGTTGTCGAGCAGGATAGCTGGTCCCCGCATAAGCCTCTGCGAACACACGGCAAGGCTGCAGGGTGTTACACAGTGACATGCTCTAGACGGAGCAAAACATGTCCGGGCGCTCCTTGCACCAGCCCAAAGAAAGCATTTCTTCTTGGGTGCAGAAACACATCTCAGTCTCAGTCGATCAGGGAAACCCCAGACTCCAGTCACGCCACACCGTGCATTACCTGAATCTTCATCTATCTGCCGTGCACACCGCACCCTCTTCTCTCTACAGCCCCCCCCTCTCCCCACTCACACTCGCAAAGACTGAAAAGAATAACGGAAGCGAGGGAAGATAGAGACACTGCTAACACGAGACGCTTTCTCCTTGGTCCAGGCTCCTTTCACACCACATTCAGCAAATGTTCTCGGCGTCACACCTGCCCGGTTTGTTGCGTCTCCTGCGGGGCGTACTCTTTCCCAATAACGCACCCGGCCAGTCGACACTCAGACCCCCGTCCTCTGACGACGAACTTGCGGCGCTTCGCACGAGGGCGGCCAGTGCCCTGCTGGGCCTGCTGCCGACGGGCGTGGCCAAGGTCTATCTGGGGGGTGGTGCCCTGTCGGCTGCTACCCACGGAGGCATGGTGGACGGCATGGAGGACCTGGTCCGGGTGCTGGACGACGAGTACTGCAACAAGCATCTCATGTATAGCGTCCTTGAGCTGATACTGGTGCGTCTGATGCCGGAGCTCAGCGAAAAGGGTGTGGGCGAGCTCTGGGAGGAGAGGCTCGGTTGAACTGTTTGCAGCGCTCCTGTAATATAATACGCCTTTTTCTCACTTCTTCCAAGTTTTTTCAGACATTATAATGATACCCATCTGCGTATAAAGATATATCACCAAGGAAGTCTTGAGAACGTTTGCGTCGGGGTGTCGAGCCAGCTCGGTGTTATTGTGGCAAAAGAAATAAACTGACTAAAGCAAAAGAAGAAGGAAAAGAGAAAATTCCCCCAAACACGTGGTGGATATAATAGTAAAAAAAAAAGGTTCCCGTCTCCAGTTTGCTTGCGCAAAACTACGTGTCCTATAAGTTCGTCGCCGAACGGTCTGTTGCCAGACATGTAAAGAGTTGCCTCCGAATCTTTCATGGTCTTGATTTTTTGGGGGGGGGTTGTTCCCCCGCATTTTTTCCCCCGCCATCGACCGCCAGAAGAAAAAAGGACAAGGAAAAAAAAACAAAGACCAGTGCCACCACGTTCATGTGGTTCCCGTGAGATCCCACAAAGGGGACGTTGCACAAGGAAGATCAATTGCCGTGAACGCCTATAACAACAGACAGAAAGCATTGCACAAAAGAAGACGAAAACGAATAGAAAACACACAAAGTAGCCAAAGAAAAGAAAAGAAAAAAAGGGACCAAACTACCTGCCCGCCTCGTTCGTCGACTATACCGCGTTCTTTGTTCATTCATTCAATGACGGTGACCTCCGCCAGCCGTAATCAAGTCGGCGTCTCCTTCTCCGATTCTTGTCAGCCCGCTCCCATCTGGGTGCGAGAACAGGTTGGACTGCGTGTGGAGTTTTCGGGTGAGCTGCAGGATGGCCGAGCACTCGTGGTCAAACTGACCAGACGGGCCAAAGTTCTGGAAATAGTTGAGCAGCGTGGCGGCAGCCCGCTGCGCATCCTCTGGGCCGGGCGCGGTGTGCAATGTGCCGGCTTCCTCGGCCTTGACTTGCTTGTCATCCAGGCGACCATTGGTATGTGAGGCGGCCCTGTGATCGGCCACGGGAGACGACATTGACTTATTTCCCACGGGCGGTGGAATGTTGCGGGGCGTTATTAACACGGCATCGCCCGCGTTCGCATGCATGTGTTGATTGGGATACTCGAGTTCCATCGGTCGAAAGGGAGGCTCGTGTCGCTTCGGTCCGGCGGCGGTGGCCTCGAACTCGGGATCGAGAGGAAACGCCGAAGGTGGCCCGTCCGGGGAGTAGCCAAACGGCGCGACAGGGCTGATGAGCTCGGATGAAAAGGATGAGGCGGCATGGTCCGTCAGCGACGTCTCGGAGTGGGAGGCATATTGGCGGTAGGTGAAGCTGTAGTCGCCGCGCGATCGCAGGTCGTCGTCGCTGGGACTCACAGACAAAGGCGACGTCTGCGTCGAGGGCGGGGAAGGCGAAATACTCTGGAACCGGGCCGATATTGACAGCTTCTCCGGGATGCTCGGCTCAGAGGCGCGTCGTGTCATCCCTGCGGTGTCGAGAGAGTATCTTTGTTTGAATTTGTTGAGCCAAGATTGTGTCAGCTTTTCCAGGATCGCCTGGTGGTTGGGGCTGCCGCGCGCATATTGGTAGGCTCGGTCCATGATGTCCGAATCGCTCATGGGGATCCCACGGTCTCGCTGTCTTCGAATATAATTGCCCAGTGTGCGATCGAAGTCGGGATTCTTCCCATTGGTGCGTTTGCCGTTGGAATCTTTTTCGATTTCGCCTTTGAGATACATCTCCTTGTTGCGCAAAACTTTTGACACGGTACTTCAAATCCAGCCAGTTAGATCTTGCATCAAGAATCTTTCCTTTTGCAATGAACTCATACCTTCTTTCCACTCTGAAAACTTGTCCAATGTCCGCCTGCCTGGTTTTGGGATGCTGCTCATGATATAGACACATGTCTCTCTTCTGTTCAAAGGTCAAGGTCTTTCGCGTTTTCTCAGCAGGCTTTGCTGTGGTTATCGAAGGCATCGCTGCCGAGGCTATTGTACTAGATGAAACTGAATAGGCGCTTGACTGGGTGTGCGTCAGCTCGCTGGGCCACGTTGTCGTTGTCAGCATAGGCAAGTCTTGGTGAGCCATGGATCCTCCGTGCGCCATGTGCGAGTTGGGTAATATCGCTGGCAAGCCTGTCAGCGATATCGGGTGGTGCACATAGTGTTGATAATTCGCATATTCGTTCAGGGGGCTGTTTTCATATGGGCTTTGGCTGTATGGACTTGCATTATGCCACGACCCGTGAGGATAATTGCTAGAATTAAGCCTGATGTCGTTACCAGAAGGTTCGTCCGTCTGACTAGTCCCTGATTCCATGATCTTGGCTGACTTTTGAGCTTGTGGATAGCTCAGATCCGAATGCAGCTGTCTGCCAAGGTGGTTAGCATCGTTGGACCAGCCGTTGGTAGTGTTGTCCATCGCAGAGGTCGAAGAGCAGTGTCAAGAGCGTTCTCACATTGTCAACCTGCTATGTCAAGACGAGAATAACATAAGGCAGAGTATTGTTGGGCTTCAAATTTGGGCCAAGAGACTTCTTGAGGCGTCTGCGGCTGGGGTATGAAGCTGGTGTGGCTGCGGTGGCTTGTCCCTTTGTATGTTGGTAATCCTTTTAGAGTTCAGTTGGTTGATGAAGGAACGTGGGTTTATGCCCGCGCTTTGACAGCCCGGCTCTGAGGTGAAGTGAGAAAGCAGGGAAGAGTGCTGAATGACAGGGCAAAAGACAAGGACGGCTTTCGGCCGAGCCTATCCCTCACTGTGTCGGATATTGCGATAGGAATACTGGTTGTACTTGGCTTCAGGATCCGCGAGACGAGGTAGCGTATTAGTCGATGAGGTACGGAGTGTGTTGAGTGCGGAATGTGAAATGCCCAGCGAGGATGTATGCCCCGGACGTGAAAACCGTATAGAAATAGGAAGCTGGATCAATGGTGTAGAGCGGCTTCCCATGCCAGTACAAAAAGAATATACCAGATAGAAAGAATCGCGGAACAATGCAAGGTCGAAATCTGATGACAGGCGTGACGGGAATACTTGTAGGACGGGAGCGGGCGTATCAGTATGTTGGCAGAAACAGACAAGCTGGATGTACATGCACAGGACCCCGGCCCAAGCCATATGCTTCAAGCCCTTCCGGGGTGCACGACGATGAGAAGATGCAGGGGACTTGGCTGGGCGAAGCTCAATGAGTACCATGGGAACCCAGACAGGAAATGATGTGGGAGGCGGGGGCGAGAAAGAAGAGAGAAAGAGATGGGGGTGTGCGAGGAGAGACCGGATGCTGCACCACACACCGTCCACACCCCATGTCAGTACCAGTATGCCGACTGAGGCGACTTTAGCTCGGCAGCGGGCTAAATACTAGCGCCCGCAATACCTGCACGTCCATCGGCCGGCTACTTATTCGTAGATGAACATGGCCAAATCAGGGCTGATGGCTGATGTCAAGGTCCACGGATGATAGTCTGAGAGCAGAGTATGTACCAGCAGCTACTCAAGGCCAATCCCCAACAAACCTCGGCCAAATAACCCGGGCAAGAGGAGATAAGCGATGAAGATCCCATGGAATATTGGCAGTCATCAAATGACGACAAGACATGGAGTGCGTTGCAACGGTGACTCCTGCCTGACCAGGCAAGGGCCTACCAGAGAGCGTTCCTCATCGACCTGACAGGTCAGGTGCTTCGCAGGTACGGAAACGAATGGAGGCCGGCAGCTCGTTCGAAAGGAAGGATACACATGCGCCTCGGTGGCATGTCATTTGCTGTTGGTAGCTCAGAGTAGTCGCCATTGCTATTGGAAGGGCAGATGCCACAACAATGCAACACCCCCCACTCGCAGCCATACATTGCTAACATTAGCTGTCGATACACCAATCCAAAAGAGAGTTGGCGGTTAGCGGCGCGGCCAACCAGTAGAACCAGTAGACAAGAGCCGGCTGGATGTTGCAGCTGTTAGCTTGGTGTGAGTGGGTGAGGACCAGGGTTAACTACCTTGTCCTCTCTCCAGACGGTCCACCCTCCTCTCCGGGGCCTTGCAACTTGTAAGCCAAAGTTGCGAAGCTCTGGCGCTCATGTCGCTGGGCGATGCTTGACGTGCCTCGTTGAGCACGTTGCAGAGCAGCATTGGCTATACCGAAGATGCTTGTTCCCAGACAACAGGTCAGAATTTTGCCCCCGAGTACGACGCAGGGTGACCGCCTTCGCGTCGCGCAATGTACTCTGGAACAGAGTGGCGTAGAAGCCGGCTTGGAGAATACTTGGTCAGGCCGCGCTTGCTACTGGTATCATGGTTGACCTTTTTGGTTGATATGCTCCGACTTCCGCGACCTTTGACCCCAGGCAAGCTGCTGCAGCGCTTGTGTCTAGTGCATGCCAGATGAACGAGGCTGCGAGGTTAACAAAGCAAAGGAAGAACCCGCCTAAATCGGGGTTGCCTGCAGTAGCTTGCCAGGTCAGGGCGCACGCAAAGCCATCAAATATACCGGGGGAGGCGATATTACAAAGTGTCCAGGTTGACTGGGTACATAGTTGGTCAAAAGTCTGAGGCTGAGATCATGTTGGCAGGACAAGGTCATGGGTACTACCAGTCGCAACGGGCGCATTCCTCTGCAGTATCCGTACTCCGTACAGACCAACAGCAGCCGCCAAGTTTTTAGAGTTTTCTGCTTTCAAAATAAGGTTTTGCATCTTGTCTTTTGCGCAAAGGAATCAGGCCATCGAGATATCTGCTTGGTTGCAAAGCGCAGAACAGGCACTTTGCTTCCAACTGTGGCAGGTTTTGGCGACGGGGCGGCAGATGTTGTAAATGCGAATTGAAATGAGCTTTGGATCAGAGTTTCGGCTGTAAGGCTAGCGGGTAGGTAGGAAATTTTCGTCTCAGAGAATGTAACCATGCGTACAGAAACCAGGACTTTGCATAAGAATTTAGTCAACTAGGCTGGAGAACTGGCCAACGCCGAGGACAATGGTTACTAGATCTCATCGAGAGCTGATTGAAAAGCGGGCTGCAGACTTGGAGCCAAGTGGGCAGCAAAGTACCACCGTTCTGGTCACCCTCTCTTCGCGTTGTAGAGTTATAGTCGAAGGACTCGACTGTTTAAAAATAGTAGTGATTCTGTTCGTGTTTGGGAATATCTTCAGGTGAGTCTCGAGGTGAATTCGCAGTTTGGGAGACGCTCTGTTTGAGAGACGCGCAGTCTGGGGAAGCCCTGAGAGGCTGCTTTTTGGCAACCTGCTCGACAGGGAAAATGGTGGTACGCCCCAAACGTGGTCCTTTATTAGTTACTGTTGCGGTACTAGCAGGGTAGCGCATGATGTACCTTGCTTGCTTGCTTGGCCTGTAATTACTTGCTCCAGCCCCAGGGCTGTCTCGGTGCGCCGTCGTCGCCATGGCCTGGAGCTGGATACGAAGTTGCGTCCCACCACCTGGCCGGATATCTTCCCGTTGGCTGCACCCGCAAGTGGTGTGCGCCATGGCGGGAGGGGTCCTGATGCGCGGCTGCAATAACCGTTTTGGGGCCAAGGAAGCCACCTAAGCCAAGCAGAGAATAGAGCCGTGTCAGACTGGCCACAGAGTCTGCCATACAATGAGTAAAGCAGTAGCACGGGGGGGTTGCGTTATGTTGCCTCTTTTCTTCTGGGTTGCTTTTCTCGTCGTTTTTTTTCATCGTCGTCGGTGGCGTTGCAGGGGCCAGACAGGTTTCGGGAACGAGGCGGGCGTTGCGAGTCGAGACATGTGTTGGGCCATCTTGACGCCTTCCCTCCACAGAGGGGTTATTAATGAGGGGAGGCTTGGAGATGCGTGGGCGGGCGAGCGAGCCTGGAGAACGCGGGACGGCTCGAAGCAGCAACGGGCAAGATGTACGAAGAAAAAGTAGGTTCGGGTAGGGCCGCCAAGTCTTTGCGAGCTTCTTGTCGCAGGCTCGAGTGGGCGACGGGTTGGTGTAGCCACGATTGGCTGCGGAGAGAGCTGGTGGCGGCGGCCAGTCCAGCAATGGCGTGGTGATTGGCAAAGCTGAGGGCGACTGCAACACACCTCTTGGCCGGGTGGATTAGTGGGGGATGACTACCAGTCATACTGGTAATGAATGACTTGCGCGCGGTGTGTGTGTCTGACAGAAAGAGGACGAGACGGGTTTTGTCGTGATAGGACCGGCAAGTGTGAGCGAGCCGCTGAGGCGTCGAGGCGTCGAGGGCCTCGCAGTTGTCGGGAGGAGAGCAAGCAAGTGCTTGATTAATTACTATGGCGTTTGCATTGCATCTTCTCCGTACTCGGCTTGCCATCAGCCACCGTCCAGTAATAAGACGCCACCTGCGAGCCTCTACCCAGATGCTGCTGAGATTTAACAATGTTTACCTAATTCTGCCGCCAAGACGCTGTCGTGCTGTTAAACCCCGATACTGCAACAGCGCAAACAGGCCCCTCAGCCATGCTCAGCGGATTGCCGCTGATATGAACCAGGTACGTCGGCCGCAGGATCAATATTCGTTCTCTCAATCTAATAACTATCTATCTCAAGCCTCATTCAGTCACTAGTTACCCACCCGGCCTGTTCCCTCATCCTCTTTTCCCTCTCCTCAACATGCCACACAGCCCAATCGTGATCCGAGGTCCAGCCACATTGCCCAAATACAAACGACCAGCACTGTCATTGATCCCATCGGCCGCCTCCAATCCCTACCAGTCAGTACGGAGTAGTTACAAGCAGATTCCCGATTCCAACACAGTCGTTTCGTCGGAACCCTTGTTTGTGCTCATCGCCATTCTCCGCTGTCCTGCAGCCAAAAGTCTAGCCCAGCAACCCCAGTCGAGCTCAGCCCAACCCGACGAGTTCTACCAGTACGGATAACGCCAGGGGCTTCAGCCGCCGCCGGCAAAAGGGAGCGAATTGTCCGACCAATTCAAAGCGTGTGCAGCGTGTGCCTTTCCCCATATGGCGCTGTCCCATCTGTCAAACAGTCTGTGCCCTCGTCCGTGCTCGCAAACCACATTCCGAAATTTGACATCGAATCTCACTTGCTCATGTTCAGAGAAGCCTTGCGCCCTGTGCTCAATGTCTCGGCTACAGCCTGCGGTCGTCGGTCGAACTGCATGCCATCCCGACGCAGAAATGAAAGAAAAAAAAAGAGAGAGAGAGAAATGAAGAAACGCGCCATGCGCAAACTATTACGCCCATCATCCCCTTGTACGGAAAACCACCGCTCTCCGACACCTTGGCAGGCCTCGACGCATCTGCTTATCTTGCCCTCACCCCCCCTATGTACATATGAGCTATCAACAAAGCCACTCACTCACACGGCACAGCTACTTATTGTGTAACCCGCCAGATGAGCACCTGCCGTTTATTACTCGGGCCTGACTTCCCCACCTTGAGGAGCATTTCCTATGGAATACGCCTACACGATCGAGCGCTTCATCCCACCTTGACACCTTGACCTGTAAGACACTCTTTGGACCCCAGTTGACAAGACTTGCATTGGCTTCCTTCGAACCTCGCATGTCAACGGCACTTTATGCAGAAGAGCGGAAGCCTTCCGGCGTAGCTTCCCTACCCTACCATGTACATACATACACTCTGGGGGCGGACTCCGGAGTACGGAGATCAGCGGCCTTCAAATCCTGTACAAATTAGTTGGGCTTGTTCTTTCACCAGAGAGCGATCAGCCCAGAGGAAGTGAAGATGACGAAAGGAATAGAACGGGAATAAGGGAGGTGTTAAAACTAGGAAGAAGATTACAATAAACAAAATAAGAAGCAATAGAATTAGACCAAGTACTAATGTCGCTATTCTGTCACCCTGGTGTTGGGCTTCTCATCCTCAGAATGCCTGGCCCACGATAAGCGCCTACAACCATGTCAAGCCAAGCAGACTTCTCAACACCCATTGACTGCCCCTGCAACATCACCACACCCTCTCTCGCCTGTGTATCCCGAGGCATCCACACTCATCTCCCATTCAGCAAAGAGGCCTGATGGCCTTGCCCGAATCTACGCCCCCCCCCCCCCCCCCTCCCAAAAAAGACCATGTCGTTTCGGCCGCAGATCTGGCGAGGCCGCGGCCCCTTGCAGTGAATCAGTGATGCACATCATTTCTCATATCGCTCTCTGACGAAGCCATGCCCTCCGTTGTCCATGGGCTTCTCCTCCGTAGCGTAGCTACCTGTGCTCTCTCCCACCAAAGTGGTTTGGTTGCTTTTGTCGGCAACTGCCGGGGAAACGTCAGCGGAATACTCTGTACAAATTACGTATTACTGAGCAAGTTACGAGTAAGTCATGACAGACCAAAATACATTGTAGCACAGTTTTTTTAACCGCTGGTAATACTTGCCGCGTTGGGTTATAAGAAATCATAGTTCATGCAAGGCTCAAGTCACACATTCCTTCCCCTGGGCTTTTATTCATGTCAATTCCCACCCCGACTTTCGGAGTTCTGGCGGCGTCTCTTTGACGTGCAACTCGGCCAATTTCACGAAGTAATATACATCCAAAATCTTTGCCTACACGCGCTCGAGCGGGTCAGAGCAATGGTTATGGCGCTTCTCCAGTTGTTGGCCACGAATATGTGCCATCTTGGTGCAGAACTACCGAAGCGATTTCCGCATGCCATGTATGAAAGGTTTACCACCTCGCAATGTCAACTCGCTCTGTTTTCTTTTCCCATTCCAGAAGACGTCACCACCGTATCAGACCGTCTAATTATGGGAAGAAGTGACGCCGTAGGCGATGACATCACGCCGCCAACGCCACTCTTCTTCTGCTCAGTGTCAGCCGTCTCCCTCGCACAGAATCTTGATGTTGGCGCGATATTGAGCGCTGAAGCAAGGACATGGGAATACAACAAGTGTGTAGTCTCACACGGGTTCGAGCATTTGTCACTGTTCGCTTCCCGAACGTGTATCATTCTCTCCCGGGGCTCAAGTTTTCCCTTGCTTCGCCGCAGTCTCTCCGAACGAGTTTCAGGCGGACACACACCCTCCTCAGGTAAACACCAGTTCAAACACTCGACTACCTCCGATCCTCTCCATGTCTTGCCGTCTTGATCATGGCCGACGCCCGCACCTTGCCCGCGGGGCGGCGGCGGAAGGGGGGAAAAGTTTCACCCCCAGGGACGCGACCACTTTCCCGTTTTGCTCTGGCCCTCGAGAGCCTCTCTAGTTACCGAATAGCCGGAACAGAAAAGCCCAGAAGTGGGGATCAAGTACGAATTATGGATAATCGATGTTGAATTGGCGCCCGATATTCCGGCATATGAAGAAGCTGTTGCCCAAAGGCCGGCGAAGCCCACATCTACTAGGAAATACTGCCAAGTTCACAACCTTGGATGTGCGTGACACCACGGAAAGTATTCCGCCAGTCTTCCGGGGCCGGTCAATGTAGTTAGAATAGGTCCTCTGGGAAAGAAAAGATTGGAGAGGCGAGGTACAGTTTACGGTATCTCAAGATCAGGCTCGCGACAATCAATCTGGTAGAGCTCTCCAGGCATGAGATCAATCTCGTCGGCAAGTAGGCGTTAACCCAACATACAAAACGCCCCTCGACAAGATTGACAGTGATTACTTTGTTTATCGGAACCGGAAGGAGGTTCATAACGATTTGGTCCAAGCATCACCGCTTCGTCCTTGTATGGCGAAATCGTCGGGTTGGCCCGCAACCCTTGTACCCTGTCAATCCAGGAAAGTCGAACCGGACAGTTCACCAAACCATAAGAAAACTCATTTCCTCTTCTGTTGCTGTCCTCCGAAGAAAAAGTTTTCAGTTCTGCCGTCTCCATCTGCCGCTTTTTTTCTTCGTCAATCGCTCCCGGGTACCGCCACTGGTGCAATGCTCGTCGCGGCCCCCAAACCCATTGCATGCATCGGTCGCCCTCCGTAGCGCCGGCGCTACCCCAAGGGAAGAGCAGAGAAAATACCCCTGTTAGTTTTTCGTTAGCCTAAGGTGATCTTCCCCTAACGCGACATTCTGCTCTCCCCCTGTAGGGCGATACGAGGGTGGAGGAGCGTGGACGGCAGTGGGAGATGGAGAGATTCTCTGGCTATGGAGGGCGAGAGGTGTAGTCCGTGCCCAACGGGTCCTTTTTCCGTCGAAAGACGTCTATGTATCTCTCGGTAGCGTCCTGAGTAGGTGCGCTCTTGTTCGTGGTCGAAATACTCATCATGGTCTCTATGCGAAACATAAATCAGATCGTAGCTGATGAATAGCCTTCATAGATTTTCATATACACATATATGCACTTTGCAGCGCCCCCAGTGTCGTGCCCAGCAGTCTTCGCTGCAAATAGATTTCCCATAACAAACACACACCCCTGCTCCGAGAAGAAGAAAAAAGCCCCCCACCATTTCCTGCAGACCAAGGAAAAGGAAATCCTAACTTTACCAAGAAACAAACTTTTTCGCGCCCCATGTCCATGTCTCGGCTGCCAGCCGAAGACCGTAAGTAACTTCCTTCTTTCTTGCCGGGGGCGCGCGAGTCACGGCAAGCCGGGAACTGCGGCCCGTGGTGGCTTCTTCATTGTATTATTGCTGAGAGCCAGTGAGCTGTCAACTGTCAAGCCCATTCTCTTTGTGCAACGGACCGGTCCATGGTCTCCCGCCCGCTTCCAGGTAAGACCTAGCTGCCATCTGCTATCCGGAGAGTAAACTCACGCCTCAGCCGAGGACCCATGTCCACCCTGACCATTTCGTGGCTCGTGCCAAATCTAGTGTTACTTTCTTGCTCTTGCGCAAGGATGACCTGATCACGCAAACAGCGGCGACCCAGGAACATGTCTTCGCCCGTTGGAGCTGAAGCGCTCCTGGCCGCCCGGCCCTTTTTCTCCCTCTACCCACTGAAATGCTCGATCATGTCAATCATCGCTTAACAATGGTCACTGCCAAATCATCAATTAGCCACGGACAGTTTCAGTAACCGCCACAAGCCCGACCCCCCAGCACGCGGGCATCATAATATCGCTTCCACTTACCGACATCCTCATCTTCCAGTTCATGGCCCAAGCCGACTCTCTGAGGCTGGTGCTTGACGGATTTGCCGTAGACGATAGCAGTCTTGAAGACCTCGGTGATACTTCGGTGAATGGCATTACACTAAAGTCACGCGCGATTGATTAGTGAACCGGCATTTGTGCTATTCCTTCATCATCAAATCGACTTACGAAATCTTCGACAGTGGATTTGTTGGCCCTGAGTACAACAGGAGCACTGTAATCTGGCTGTTTTCCCTTGGGCTTGGTGTAAACGCGCTTCAAATTGAGCTTCTCCCACATGGCTTCCATGAGCTCGTCAATGTTCCATCCGTGCTCGGAGCTAATGGGGATTGAGTCGGGAATTCGGTATAGCAGATCCAGTTCCTCGATACTGATGGCGTCGATCTTGTTCAGGCAGTACACCACGGGGATATAGCTAGAGGGCCAAGGGTCAGCATCATCCGTTTTGCGGCAATTCATCAAGAACAAGTTCGCCTTACCTTCTGGAGCGAGCTTCCAAAATGTCAATCAGGTCATCAACTGTGGCGTCGCAGCGAATGGTAATATCGGCCGAGTTGATTTTGTATTCGCCCATGACGGCCTTGATTTCGTCGTGAGTAATTTGTGTCAGAGGTGATGTGCTCGTAACATTGAGGCCACCCTTATCCTTCTTCCTAAAGGTAATATTTGGCGGCGATTTGTTGATACGGATACCAAAGCCTTCCAGTTCGGCCTCGATAACACGCTTGTCGCTCAGCGGCTTGTTCACGTCGAGAACAATAAAGATCAAATGGCAGGTTTTGGCAACGGCGATGACCTGACGACCTCTACCGCGACCGTCCTTGGCACCTTCGATAATGCCTGGCAAATCGATCATTTGTAGAGGAGCGCCTGAAGACAGTCAGCAACTTTAGTCCTATTCTACTCAGGCCAAAGCAGGAAAGGCTAACATACCATTGTACATGACCTGACCGGGCACCGACGTCAGTGTTGTGAATTCGTAAGCGGCAGCCTCAGAGTGTTGACCCGTCAACCTAGTCATCAGTGTACTCTTGCCGACAGAGGGAAAGCCAATGAAGCCGACACTGGCAACACCAGTTCTGGCGACGTCGAAACCAGCGCCGGCACCGCCACCCCCTCCGCTGGGGGTCAGCAGCTCACGCTTGAGCTTGGCCAACTTGGCTTTTAATTGACCCAAGTGGTAGGAGGTAGCCTTATTCTTTTGGGTCCTGGCCATCTACATCGCAAAAGTTCCTTGTCAGCATCGTGCGTTTCGAGATGGTCGGCGGTGGTGGTTCGACGAGCGGATGGAAACAAGCCAACTATGGCTGCTTATTTCATTGGTAAAATGCATCTATAACTCATGAAACATACTTCGGCTTCGACCTCTTTGATCTGCATCACAGGCATGTTAGCAAAGAGGTTATTCTTCCGTACCAATGGCCTCAGCAAGCCTTACCTTGTCCACAGTTGTCGACATGATGGGCAACTTCTCGCAGCTCTGGCGCGGAAGGAGTAAACGAATCAGCTAGGTGTTCGGGATTAGTAGAGCCTTCTTCGACAGGAATTTGGTGTTTTTTCGTCCTGTAGGCTCTGTCACGGGAAACTCAGTCGTATTTTGAAGCTGGTTGTCCTTCAAGATTCTCTGGTGGGCTTGGTGGGGTGAATTTTTTTGATGCAGTGGCCAATGATGTCAGGCCAGGGCCGTCTCCCGCGCGGCTTAGTCAGGATTGCCCAGAGGTAAGTTATCACCAGTATTTCTTACACTGAATATTCTGTAGTTGTTGAAATTTATCATATCCCTTTGCAGAATAATGTACAAACTAACGCCTAATATAGGTGTGACACGCTATACCCGAATCTCAGTCAAATATCCATCCCACATTCCGTATCATTGTACATCATCAAGCATGTATACATCAGACATTAAACTGGCAAAACACGCAAAAAAGAAGATAGACACATGAATAAAATCAAGACATGATCTTGTGTGTAATAACAACTCGGGGTTAAAGAAACCGGTGCCCAGCCCAGGTAGGCGTTACAACATTCGAACACACCAGGACTCCTCGTCATCAAATATACCAACCACCAACCACCCCTTCCGTCCTCGGGGCGTAAACACACAAAGCGTGCCCATCACGCAACAGCAACCATGACCAATAATCGCATATACGCGAAAGCTATGTAACAAGAAAAAAAAAATGGAGGTATAAGGTAGAGTAGTGAGACAACGTAGGTTTGACGTGTAAGTGATCGATATCCAACGAGGTCGTTTGGGGGCTTTTAGTGAGAATCACCATTAATAGCAACACCGGAAGCCTCGACGTGGCTGTGTCCATGGCCGTTGGTACCATTGAGAAGCTTAGGCTCCATTGCAGAGGCATGTACGCCATTTGGCAAAATTGGGCTGGATTGTCCTCTGACGAGATGCCCCAGGCCTTGCTCCAAGCAAAGCTTTTCGTACTCGGGGTCGTCCGGAAATACTTGAACCAGGCCGCGGCGTGGTACTCGTCTTTCTGGGAAAGGTGTACTGCTGACCAAATGTTTTGTTGGGGTATCCTCACGTACAAAGTTGCCACTAACGTAGTATTTGTGCCGGGGCGCAAAGCCATGGAAACGGTCGACTCCAGGATCTTGTTTCCATTTCTGCGGCGCTTTCCACCCCACAGCTTGAGCTTCGCTCTCGAGAAGTTCACGATACTCGACAGCAAGTGTAACGTTGCGTAGGTGAGAAATGTTGGAGACCGTGTACAGCAGCTCGGACAGCTTGACAAAGAACATGTCTGTGGTAGAAAACCGCTCCCATGCGGCTTGCTTCAGTTTCTGTTTGGTTTCGAAGCTCACCGTAGCGGGGTCCTCACCATCGTAGTAATCTGGTAACTGTTGACCAAGGTCCCAGCATTTCTCAGACAGCAAGGAATAGAGCTCCCACTCGGTTCGCCAAAGGGTCATCTTCGCCAAACTGGAGACGGGAATGTGCTCCCAAGCTGTATAACGCGAGAGGCCGAGGTCCTTTTCGCCAAGAAGCAAAGCAACATGTGTGTTGAGTACCCATTGTTCGCGACCTTCGTCTGTGCCCGTGGCCGCTGGGCGGATAGTGTCAAAACGCACACCAGACATAAAACGGAACTTTTCCGCCAAGCTAGATTGCTTTGGATTGGGACATATCTGAAGCCATCGTAATAATGGTGGCAACTTATCCAAGCGAGCGCGTTCTTCTTCTTCCCGCAGCTTTCTAGCCTCGGCTTCGCGAGCAGCACGTTTACGCTCCAGCTCCTCGCGGTGGCGTCGTTCACGTTCTTTGCGTTCCTCTTCTTCCTGTTGTCGTTTTGCTTCTTCGGCGTCACGTTCGAGCTGCTCACGATGCAGACGTTCCGCTTCTTCCCGCTGTTTTCTCTCCTCCTCTTCTTTCTTCTTCTTCTCTTCTTCTTCGCGTAATCGTGCCGCTTCAGCTTCGCGGCGCAGGCGCTCTTCTTCCTTTGCCTTCTTCCTCTCCTCCTCTTCGCGGCGAGAAACTTCCTCCTCCTCTAGTCGCTTCATCTCCTTTTTGGCCGCCTCCTCCTCCTCCAATCGCTTCATCTCCTTTTTGGCCGCCTCCTCCTCCTCCAGTCGCTTCATCTCCTTTTTGGCCGCCTCCTCCTCCTCCAGTCGCTTCATCTCCTTTTTAGCCACCTCCTCCTCCTCTTTCTTCCTAGCAGCTTCAGCCTCAACCATCTTTTCAGCGCTGGATTCTTTGAATGGGGCTTCTGTCATGGCGACGTCAACATCCTCAGATTTTATCTGAATCTTGTCGGAAGAAACCGAGCGATCTGAATTCCGTCGCTTCGACTCTTTTGATTTTTTCTCGTTGACAAGTTCTTCATCGCTGCTACCCCTTACATTCGTCTTTTTGGTCTTGTCCTCCAGAGCTGCGCGCTTGCTCTTTTTCTCCGATGCATCACTCTCCAAGCGTCTGCGCTTATTAACGTTTGTCTCATCCTTGTCTGTATCTGCAGAGCGATCAGGTGTTGTGCTCTTGCGATGCCTTTTAGCTGTCGAGTCACTTTCCCGAGAAGGCTCACCCTTTAGCGCTTTGGTTCTGTCGTGGTACTTCTCGGACACTTTTTGCTTCTCTGCAGATTCGTCATTGCGGGAGGCTTTGGGGCTTGTCGGCTCCTTGCCTGATGAGACTCGGCCTTTCTTTTCTCTCTCGCCTCGTAGTTCACCTTTGGAAACAAGCTTGCGACGCGGTTTGACATTTTCACCATCAGATGATGCGGCCGCGGCTTCTGACTCTGCACGTTTTGTCTTGCTGGACTTATGGTGGGTTGTTGGCGAAGCTTCGGGATCAGCCCCTTGCACGGATGGCTTCTCTTCTTTGCGAGGCCGACCAGGACCGCGCTTGGGGGTTTCGTCATCACCGTGAGTTGAAAAAGACTCGGATCGCCCCTTGCTTCCTTGGCCATCTAATTTGGGGCCAGTTTTGCGCTTTAGCTCACTTTCACGGGATGGGCTCTGCAAGGTTTTGCGGTCGCGCTTCACATCCGTGCGTGCTTCGTCTCGCTTAGCACGCTTCTCTTCGCGTTCGCGCTCTTTTCGGCCGGGAGATTTGGTGGGAGCACCATCTTTGTGCGTACGCTTGTATTCGTCGTATGTAGCTCGGAGTATATCCTCTTCTTCCTTCCAATTCGGTCCTTGGCGTCGTCGAGCAATTTCGTAGTAGGTCTCACCCTTGAATCTCCTTGTCGGGTCAAAGCCTTGCTGCTCTAACAACAGCTGAACTACTTTGATGTTTTCTTGGCCAATTGCGGCAAGTATAGGTGTTGCGAATTCGGCTGCAAGACTAGGAACGGGACCAGGGTCAGCATTGGCACCACCCAAGCCGAGTAACAGCTGGATAACAAGGTCATGGCCACCGCGGGCAGCAGCCACCATGGACTCGGGATCATCGAATCCCTCCTTTACTTGAAGAATGCGGGCGACGGTCTCCTCGTCACCGCGTCCGGCAGCCTGTCGAAGCGTTTTGTCGTCCAGAGGCATATAGAGCAAATCATTTCGAGTTTTTGTAGCTCGTCCAGTCGTGCTTCGTCTTCCGCTTGGTGCAGCTGGAGATCGGCGTGGGCTATCCGGCGCATGCGAATCCCGAGCTTCAAAGTCGTGGTTAGAATGGCGGTCTTCGGAAGTCCGCATCCTATCACCAGCTTTCTTTTTGGCGGCGATCAGGAGCGCTCGAATCTCTTCTGCGTGGTCGGTTTCCTCTGTCACTCGGTCGATCGGCTCCTCTCCACTCAGATTGGCTTTACGTGGGTTGACGCCAGCATCTAGAAGAAGCTTGACGACGCCCAGATGGCCATTGTCCACAGCATCGAGTAACGGTGTATCTTTGTCATAATTTACACAATCCACGTTACATCCTGCCTGCATCAAAAGTCTGACGATATCTTCGCATCCATTAATAGCGGCAATCTGGAGAGGAGTATTGCCTGCGTAGTCGGCAACGTTAATGTCTTCCGGCCGCTCCATCAGGCGCTGCTTCACACCATCGTATTCCCCTTTTGCACAAGCGCGGGCTAATAGCGTCTGACCATGAGCATCCAAGTGCTTTTTATGCGATCCAACTTTGGCAGGAGACATGTGAGATTCTGAATTGGCCGGCGTGGCGAGACTCCTTAGTTTGGTGTTGCGGGGGTGAGGGCTTCCACTGGCAGAAGAGTCATCGGAGTGGTATTCCGTAGACAATAGTGGGGGTGGCAACCGCTTCTTCTTTTGACTGAGGCCATTGGGGGGCGGTAGTTGGGTCGAGGTACTTCGACGGTGATGTCGTGGAGGTAGAGAGCGTGACCGTGATCTCGCATCACGTTGGGATCTTGAAGAGACTCTGGCATCTCGGGAGTTGCGGCCTACGTCGACGCTGACGGATGTGGTGCGCTGGCGTCTAGCCTTGCGCCCATCAGCCTCATCGTCGGATTCGACCTTGGGAGCCTTGCGTTTTTGAGATGTCAGTCTGTCGCCGGATCTATTCTTGTCTTTGAAAGAGGGCTTGGGTGGCTTGTTGGTGTATTCATCAGAGTCAGTTTCGGTGAGGTGGGCTGCGTCGGAGCGAGACCGTTGCCGGCGGTGCGGCAGACGTCGGTGTGTCTGAGTTGGCGAGTTTGGAGCAGAGCTCAGTCCGCTAGATCCACCACGGTCTTTGCTGCGAGAATGGCTTTCCTTGTCAACTAGCCTCGAGCCCGCAGAGATGGAGAGGCGCTTCTTCTTAGGAGGGTCACCAGCTCGAGCATTGATGGTGGGGAAATCAGGCTTAAGGGTCTTGTGGGAGGTTTTTGGTTTGGAGGCATCACCGTCGCTGTCGCTCTTATCTTCCTGCCTCACCTTGCGGACTTTGGATGGTGAGTGTCCATCCTTGCCGGGAAGCACAATCGTTTCAGCGTCGGAGTCGCGATCATCAGCGCTATCGTCGGCTCGAGCGACCGCTGCGGGAGCAATGGCGGGTTTCGACTTGGGTTCCACGGGCGCATTATTACTAGTCTTTGAGCCTAGCGAGGACGCGTTTTTGGAGTCGACTTGGGAGCCCCGGCGCCGTTGAGGGGAAGCGGCCGAGGGCCGCGCGTGGTCGGCCTCGGCGGCATTCTGCGCATCCATGTCATTTAATAATGCGAAGGACCAATATTTGCGAGCATCATGGGAATGATAGGGAGGCGGGAGGTGACGCTGCGATTGAAGTCGCTCTGGGATTTGAAATGGCAGGAGGGTAGGCGGCGAACAGCCCCTAAAACTGGCGAGTGGCTCGGGCTTGAGTGACTGTTTCAATGTTCGGCGCGGTCAAAAAAGGCACAAATAATTCGAGAGTAATAAATTGTGTAATTAATGGCAAAATAAGAAGCCGGGACATAGGCGCTGTGAGCATACGCGCAATTGATCCAGAGGCCCGAGTTTGTTATGATGGTGAGAAGTGGGCGTTTGTTGGCGATGGTGAAATTGAAGATTAGCGGCGCCGTAGCAGCAGCCGTCGAGAGGAAAGTGGCAGGTACCTTCCTTGTACGTGGTACTAAGTAATCAACAGTGGGGCCAGTGTCTTCCAAGTGGCAATTGGTACAGATTACTCCGTACTAGTACGGTGTGAAAGGTACCTCTAGGTACCTGGGTACCTATCTTAAGGCAGCAACAAGAGGCACTGGACCTTCTATGCACAGTGAGGCCGGGCGCGGCTTGGGGCGCAAAAGATTAAGGCCCACACTGAGTGATAGTTGATTTTAGTCAAAACAGTGCTGCCAGCTTGGAAAGGGCCAAGGGTTAGTCTGTCAGAATAAGCGCAAACAGGGCATCGCTGAGCCCGCAGAGCCCTTCTGGATTCTCTTGTCATTGCCTGTCTATTCTTTGTATTATGCCGATACAGTTCAATAAGCCATGAGGGTGTCAAGGTGACAATGGTGACAGGTAGTGGCAAGCCAGCGTCAACGAGCTCAGGATCGCCGGTTCTTGATTGGCGGTGTTTGTGGGGCGCATTCCGGCGGGGCAAAAGCACCCCCAGCCGCATTTTTTTTTTCTCCCTCCTCATTTCTTGGCTTGTCGCCTTTGAGTCGTTGTCAATGCGAATCCAGCACTGCCTGCTGGTGTAGTTCAGTTTGCTGGCTCTACGAGTCATTAACTATCGCTCAAAATAGACGCCGCAAGCTGAGACGCTGACTCACAAGCCGGGAAAAGAAACTAGTTAGACGTCGCGAGAGACGGTCTGGCTCGCTCGCCCTCGGGGTGCGATGCACCCGGCAGATCACTGGCCACATATGCTCACACACCGTCTGGTTGTTGTGTGTGCTTGCGGGCGGGGGCGGAGGAGGCTGCGCACCGCCTCGCCGCTCTCAGTACGGCCGCCTCGCCAAAGTCTGCTCCTACAACATCATGAGCTGTTTTGGGTCCTTCATCAACAGCCGCTCATTCTGGAGCGCGGCATCCCACTTGCACAGTATGAAAGCTACACTCGACGCTGGTTATTGAATCACACCATTTCGGGTCTCACTCGTCGAATGCGACCTGCAGAACGTATCAACCACCCAAAACGATGGCGCCGGAAAAATAGAGTGGCTTGTTGGTCCCAGCTACGATCGCGCGACCGTATCACCTTCGTTCGCCCCCGTGCTGCTTTCTCGTGGATGTCCTGGAGTATTTCCCTGCAGCTTGCACTTCGGAATTCGCAGCCTGAGAACCCTTCGACCCGCCGCTTTTCTTGCACTCTCAACGTGAACGTATTAGCCGGCAGCTGCTAGAAAACAGACGCCAGCCTAGGCCACAACCGCTACGGAAGTCGTGCAAGATGTGGGAAGGTCGTTGCGTCGCCATGGCGCGACAATCGTCACTGCAGGGTAGCCGCGATACATTGTAAAGGGCCACTAAACATGCTACGTAGACGCGACCTGAATCAAAAAAATCGCCCGCTACTAATTCGTAGAGCCGGGGCATTACATTCGGTCAGGCTGATCATGTAGAAACAAAACGACCCCAGAGTCTCGCATTATTAGTTGACAGATTTCAAGGCTTCGTCTCCTCCTGCGACTCCACATGTGACAAATCGGTGCATAGACTCACTTGCCCGTTTGTTGAACGTTGAACTCTGCACCCGCAGGACACAAAGCGGCACCGCGAACCTCGGATTTGCTACGGCGCAGGCATAATTCCTGCGCTGAGAGCAACCATGGCGTTACCATCGACCCCCGGCGTAGCCCTCCCAGCCAGTCTCGAAGCAGCGAGAATCGACGGCCTACCTGCGTCGGCATACTACATTCCCAACTTCATCAGCGTAGACGAAGAGCAGCTTATACTGGACAAGGTGCGTTATCCACCCTCAAGGCAGGAACTAAAACCACCTTCTTGCCCGGTGTGCAGTCCGTTTGTTCTAATACGAAAGGAGGGCCAAAAGATTGCCGCGGCGCCAAAGCCCCGATGGAAGCAGCTCACACATCGCCGCCTGCAGACGTGGCCGTCCGACCTCGTGCGCGACAAGCTCCTCGACGCCGTGCTTCCTCCATGGCTTGAATCGCCCGTCGTGCCACGCCTCCAGTCGATGCCCGTGTCGTCCGGCGACACTGCTGCCCACCTCTTCAGCGGCAGCCCGCACACCAGGCCGAACCATGTCCTCATCAACGAGTATCCTCCTGGCGTCGGCATCATGCCCCACAAGGCACGTTGCACAGAGTCCGAAACCCCCTCTATTTCACATGTTTTAACACGAAAGAACGGTGTGTAGGATGGCGGAGCGTACTGGCCCGTCGTCTGCACGGTCAGCCTGGGCGCGAGCCTCTGTCTCAACCTCCACCGAAGCAAGGAGGATGGCGCACTCGATCCAAAGCCCGCCTGGCGCATCCTGCAGGAGCCGCGCAGTCTGCTCATCACGACAGACGAACTCTACACTGACCATCTCCATGGAATCGCCGACATCGAAGAGGACGTCGACCTATCCCAAGAAACAGTTGCGAATTGGTCACTACTCGGCGACCCCTCTGTCTTTGCAGACGGCCGAAACGTGCGCCAGACTCGCACGAGCCTCACATACCGAGACGTTCTCCAAGTCTCCAAAGCCGCGAGTAAGATTGGATTGTTTATGAAGCGTTAAAAGCAGTATCCTCGAACGAAGAACAAGCGTCGTGTTTGCCACATGTAGTGTGTCCTTTGTGCCACGCTCTTTCTAGAATACAAAGGGTATCATGGTCCATCGCGATGCCACCGCCTCCGCCCCAAACTTTTGCACATACCACCGCCGCGTTCCCACCGCCGTCGCCCCTAGGTTCGCCACGACAAATGCCAGCCCGCAGAGGACGGGCCCGCTGCAGAAGCGGCCCGCCGGCGCGGCCACAAACGCAATGGTCAGGTAGACGAGGCACTCGCACGTGTAGTGTGGGCAGACGAGGTACCGGAAGAGCCCCGCGGTGGGCAGCGTGTACTTTTTCAGGCTGGCGAGGTGCGCGTGGCACGCGTGCTGCTTGGTCCAGGCCCACAGGAAGACGGCCAAGCACGCGGGGACGCGTGAGGCGAGGATGTGCGAGGCGAGGATGCGCGCGGGGTGCTGCGTCTCCCAGAACGCGAGAATGGCGGCTATTTTCCGAGGTTTCCAGTGTTAGTAATTCGGGCATAAAGGCTAGACTTGACAAAGCGAGAAAGACAAAAAGACAAAATAACAAGACGTACCGGAACGTTCAATCCAGATGCTGATGCTCATCACCGCGTAAAAGGTCAGCCCCAGCACCCAGTGCACAAACCACATGGACGAGCCCTCGCCCGTCCTCATCACAACCAGGCTCTCGTACAGCCGCCTCGTCCCCTGCAGCGCCATCATAGCCCACGCCGCAACCACCCGTCCCAGCGCGTCGTCGTCCCCAACCTCTGCCGCCGCCGCCGCGTGCTGCTGCTGCCTCTCCGCCAGCGCCCGCAGCACCCGGCCACCCGTCCCAAACTGCCAGGCCCAAAACGCCGAGGCCGCGACCGAGAGCAGGTAAAAGTGCCAGAACCACGCGTGCGGGACCTGGCCGGCGCGGGTGGCCGCGCCGACGAGCCTCTGGAGCGGCGGTGGTGCTGGCTGCTGTTTCTGCCTGGTGGTCGCACGCGGGCCATAGTCCATCAAGAGGCCGCGGAGAGACGCCGGCAGCGCCTGCAGCACCAGCAGGCTGCCGGCGGCGCCGAGGAACACGGCCTGGCACCACTGCGACGGCGGCTGGGCGGCTGCGAGGTCCCAGAGGGCGGCGGCGGCGGCGTGAGCCATGCGTCGAATGGAGGGTGGGAACTTGGCAAGGAAACAAAAAACCCCCCCAAGTCGAATGGAGAGCAGTCTGTTTTGTGGGTTTTGGCGGCGTGATGTCCTTTTTTGGGGGGGGAGGAGAATTGCGATGAGTTTTGGTGTTGAAAGAGCGAGGGGGTTGTGAAGCGACAAAGCCCGCAAAACCGGGCCGAGACCCCCTTTGCAGTCGACGACATCTAAGTTACGAATAATGCACCAACCACTTCATGGTGTATATCAATTCAGCGGCAATAATGCAAACACCTAGATAACACAACACAATTTGATAGTTTGGACTTGTTAATGGTGCTCACTTGACAACACCCTCGCAAGGCATGAACGTGAAATACTAAACATTCAAATAGCAGCCCACACATTGTGCATAGAAGAGGTACTTTGGGAAAAGATAGCCGTAGAATTGTGTATATAGCTGTTACTAGACAATCATCTCAAAATCCTAACTGCAAGAAGGAAAATTTACATTTTAGTTGGAAAACCCGATTCGTAAATAAAGCAAAGATTAAAACACCCACTCCCTCAGATGAGAGAGGGAGATTCCAAAGTACATTGTACCAGCTAATTGCAGCCCCAGCTTCTGCACTGAGAAACGGGGTTGATGTACTGGTTCTCGTAGATGCACTCATCGTACTGAGCCTTGCAACGGAACACGGCGTTGTTGTAGTTGTTGTTGCCGGAACCCCAGCCGGCTCCGGCCCAGGCGTTGGCACTGGCCCAGGCACCACTGCCGCCAGCAAAAGCCGAGGCAGAGGCACTGACACCACCACTGTAGCTGCCCCAGCCCTTGCAAACGCTGGGGTTAGGGTTGCCCCAGCCAGGCCAGTTGAAGGAAGACGTGGTGAGAGTGCGTTCCTCAAGAGCGCGTTCCTCAATAGAACGGCGAGGGTTCTGCAAGTTTTTGCAAGAGTTGGCATAGACCTCAACGCACTTGTTGTACTGGTACTTGCAAGCCTCGCAGCAAACGCTACCAATCCGGCCCTGGGGGTACCCGGGGCAGTTTTTGCTGTTGGAAGAAGTGTACATCTTCCAGGGGCTGACATTGAAGTCATCCTTGCAGTCGTTGCAGGTGACAATGGGCAGAGGAACGCCGCCGACGGGGTTACCAGGGCCAAAGTCACACTCCTTCGAGGTGGGCTGCTTGCAAACATTGGTGGGCTGAGGAGCGCACTGCGTCGTAGAAGTGCTGGTCTTGGTGCTGGTAGTAGTGCTGGTGCAAGCAGTGGTGACAGTCTTGGTGGTGGAAGTTCCGACGTGGCCGGGCGACAAAGACTTCCAGCAGTCAAGTTTGTTGCACTTGGAGCTGTTGTCACAACGGTTGTGATAGCCCAGGAGACTCTTGCACCACTGAGCGTACTCGAAGCAGTTCAAGCTATCAGGGTAACCAGCTTCGTTGAAGCAAGAGTAAACATTGACCTCGCATTGCTTCCATGCGGAAAAGCAGCCCGGCTTGGAGCTCCAATCGGGAGTGGGAGGCAGGCACCACTTGCCAATCTGGTGCTCGCAAGTGGGAGGAGTGACGATGGTGGTAGTGCAAGAGCCAGGAGCAGTGGTGGTAGGCTTCGTAGAGGTGCTGGGCTTGGTGGTTGTCGTAGGACCGGTAGTAGGACCGGTAGTAGGACCGGTAGAAGTAGTACCGGGGCGAGTAGAGGTGCTGGTAGGCTGAGTAGAAGGTCCAGTAGAGGAGCCAGGGCCAGTGGAAGAAGTAGTAGGCTTGGTCGAGGTCGAGGTGCTGGTGGAAGTGCTAGTAGGCACAGTCGAGGTGCTAATAGACGTGCTGGTAGGCACGGTCGAGGTGCTAGTAGACGTGCTAGTAGGCGCGGTCGAGGTGCTAGTAGAGGTGCTAGTAGGCACGGTCGAGGTGCTGGTAGAGGTGCTAGTAGACGTGCTAGTAGGCACGGTCGAGGTGCTGGTAGAGGTGCTGTT